ATATCTCTTCCACTATAAAGGACAGACACTATAGTCTAGAACTCAATTCAAACCTAACTCCAAGCATTTTAACCATTGACATGCAGAACTTGTGGTTAATGAAGTCTCAACTTAGATTTTTCTAAGAAACATAAGATTGAGCACATATTCCTTTCTTCTTCTTCTTCTTCTTCTTCTTCATGATGGCTGGATGTAAACACTGGACTTTTATCTTGTTCCAGAACTTGAGTTTATGTGCAAATCCATTTTACAGAAGTAGCTTATTTATATGCAGACTGTTGGTTCCCTGTGTCTCAGGCAGATATACTATGACTTACAAGGAAAACCACTTATTAGCTGCCTTTTATGACATGTGTCGATTGTCTCTAACCCAACAGCCCTTGACAGGCCTCAGAACCAAAGCGGAGAGACTGAGCAAATAATCACTCTATGTTTGTCAGTCAAAGGCACTGTTCATGTCAGACAACATCACAAAAGACCTTTTACAGTATATTACAGAACCTTATGCCCCCCTCATGTGTCTCCAACGGACCCCAGGCCCCTCAATCAACTTGTACACTTGCTCATGGTTCATTTCCAGCTTTGTACTGTCTCAGCAAACCGCTTTTACAACATTTAACATAGGACCATCTTCTGCTGCCTTTCATCTACAAATTATAGGACTGCTGCCAATTCCTGCCAAGTTCTTTACGGACTTGTTCATCAGTGCATTTTACGGTACATTTTTCCAACAGCATAGGACAGTCCCTTTGCCATTATCAAAATATATTTGACACTGAAATACTGCTGTCCCGAAACTACATTACTGTCCCTAGACATATTTTACTTTTTGAAAAACGAGTCCTGGCAACACATATTGATTTTCACACTCACACAATATGTCCTGATCTTCACACTCACACAATATGTCCTGATCTTCACACTCACACAATATGTCCTGATCTTCACACTCACACAATATGTCCTGATCTTCACACTCACACAATATGTCCTGATCATCACACTCACACAACAGGTCCCACACAGATTCATCACTCATAACACAAACATCCACTAATATCCAACATAATGACTTCACTATAAACAGTTGTGTTAAAACAAAGTCTTGCTACAGACAATAGACATACTTATTTCTGTATGAACACACACAACTTAATTGTAACTCAGGTTCCTTGCAATAAACGCAAACTTCTGTTTTATAACAAAAGTGTAGAAGGGTTAGTTTTTTTTTTTTTTTTGTCTGTGGTCTTGTTCCCGCTCCGAAGAAGTAGAGTGGGGGAAGTGGGGATAATTTCCATTTCTGGAGTATAAAAATTGAACACTTATGCATTTTTTTTTTAAATCTGAAATCTGTGTTTATGTGCACAGAATTGTAAAAACTATATTTTTGTAAGAACAGTGAAAATTACAGCATTGATATGCCCTGTTGCTTAGACATCCAAATGTCTTCCTTCCAACAAAACAGCAAATAATCAATAGCATCTTCATCCCCACTTTATGTGATCAGTGCCAAACATGGACAATGAATAGGGCACTAGAACAGAACATAACTGCATGTGAAATGCACTGTCTCCGCAAGGTCACTAACAACACTAGACGAGACAGGGTTACAAATACCTGCATTAGAGATAAAGTTGGAATAAGACCATGTCTGGATTATGTTGAAAGACAGAAAATGAAATGGTTTGACCATCTAGTGAAAATGCAGCCAGGACAGACTGCATTTGAGACTTTTCTTGCAGTTGAACATCTGGGAGGAAGGTCAGAGGAAGACCAAGAGAGAGATGGATAAATGATGTAGATGAAACCTGCAAAAAGTTAAACAAATCCATCACCCAAGCCACCTGGGAGGCCAAGACACATACAGAAAACCATGTCATTGGGTTACAACCTGGTAACAGTGAGACCATGACAGAAGAAGATATGCATTGCTACTTCAGGTGCTTTTATGGTGAGGACAACATGTTACACTGGTATAGACAGCATACACAGCAACAGTTACTGCATCCAACAGCTCAAATTTTCAGTCACAAGACTGTTTTTAGAGAAGGAACAGTTGCTTATTTTCAAACACCCGCATCTGAACAGCAACAATGATACTGCAGAAGTTTTAGTCAGTCTACTTTCAATGGCTGTGAGGTCTGAGTCATGATTTGTGTATCGGATCTGACTGCTCAAGCTGCATAACAGGATTACCAACATCCAATCTGATCCTGATACAACTTTTGGTCTTGAAACAGGACACCAATTTTTGGTTATTTTAAAGCTCCACCCCAGGTGTAGTTGGGAGCCCTAATATTACCTAACCAGCTGCACAGGGTTTCTGGGACCTCTCCCCCAGGTGATCCGCATAATGTGTCACCAGGTGTTTATCGCTTAGTGGGATGTCCTAGTAGGGTTAAATCTCTCTCTCTCTCTGATCCTGATAAATGCAGCAAGAAACAGTGCTGTTCACCCCAGCTCAGTTTACAAAACTGCTACAGGGTAGGCACAATCTGTTTAACAATTTGCATCTTACATTGCTGACTGAGACGATGATGTGACTACAAACTTTACTTTTATACTGCATCACCCCCCCCCCCCCTTTTTTTTTTTTCATCATACCTCCCTACATTTTCCCACAAGCAAGTGCCCTAATTATTACTTTTGACAGAATGTACTTTACTATTTGATCCACTTCACAAATATCAATTTACAACTATGCAATTTAAAAGAGACTGGTAATTTAAATTAGAAACAGCTCAGATAAATTCTATCTTAAAAAACTATGCTTGTGATAAAGCAGTTTCTAAACTTACAAATGGTGAGAGAAGACGCATTGTAATTGTATACTATCTATATATATAGTATCTTTCACATGCTCAATATTCATTTAAAATAAATGAAAAGTTGTCACATTGCAGAGAAACATATAATTACAAAATAACTACACTTTAACTATCTAAATCCTTTTAAATAAGGCACCCGTTCGGAAAACTTGCTAACAATAAATATTTATCTATAAAAATCCTTTCCAAGAAATACAGTGCAAAATAAATAGAGGGAGGACCTGGGAACACAAGAAGGAGAGAGGGGAATAATAGGAGCAGGACACTTGAGAGAGCAGCAATAGTAACTGGGACAGCTTCTTATAAGTTGCTTGAGAACTTAGGCTCATCTTGGCAATAAAACACAGAAGTTCTAATTCCTGCCAACAATAGCAGGAACATAAGTAACATTCACTGTTTCTATCCACTGCACACACAATCTCCAGAAACTGCATTTACATCTGCTAAATATCAACACACAAGACATGCATACATAAACAGACTCATGTGAACGAAACATTTTCACTTGCATTAACACAACTTTCAAAGGCTGCTTGCTTTTCAGTCGTACATAAAAAGTTCTGCTTGCTTTCCGTACAGTAATAACAGCACCAGAACTGTCTTAACAGCCTACAAAGTCCTATATTCTACTATGCTGCAGCAGCAACATTATTGTTATCATCATGTGCTTTGGTGATAAGCAAAGGCAGCCATAGTTTGCCATCTTTGATGATCACCAGAATCAGGGATCATGTCATAATTAATATCCTGTCCAAGCCGTGTGGCCAAGTCATTCATAAATATATATATATCTCTGTCTTCACCTTGCATTTTTTTTTTTTTAAATCAACTTGCCGGTTGTCACCAAGTTTGTGAGATTCATAATATGTCAAATCAATTAGGTTTTTATCTATCTCCAAGCTGATGACACTCTGAGACTTCTGTTGCCATTAGTTTTTCCAGATGTTAGATAAATTCTGCGCCATCATAATTAATATTGCCCATTTTGTGCAATACTTCTTGCGAAGTAAAACAAATCTGTTGCGCTTTCTCTAGCTAGTTCTGAAATCATTTTTATCTATTATATTTTAGGGAGAAAAATCATGCACAAAATGTTTGCAATTTCTGCAACTGGGCTCTTGCGTATCTGCTTACAGCTATCCCTCTAAATTAAAAGGAGAAATGTTGTTTGTTAATTAATATTTTTAATCGGTGTTGTTAGCACTAAAACAAATTCCTATTAATGCCCTCAAAAGGTTAGCTTATAATGTAAACAATCTGAAATACATTGAAATATCACAGAACCAGGGTTAAAAAAAATGTATTACTCATAGAATATAACTACTGCTATTAAAAAAAAAGCTGTATTTAAAAAAAAAAAGCTATAATTAAAAATAAAATTAAAAAAAAGACACCATTCTCGTGGTGACATGAATAAGGCATAATTCTGGTGCTGAAAATAGTACAGGTATTCATTCTTTCCTCAACCTAACCCTACCAAGATACTGCTTTACAATTATGAATATACAAAAACAGGCTTAAAAAAAATAATTTTTTGAGTTTATATCATTATTTTCTTGTCCAAGTTAAGCTGAACATAGCCTAAGTGTGATCACGTTTTAAATGCAGTAGGATAATTTAAACTAAGCCCATCGGTGATATCTGTGAGCCTCTTGTAATGGTGTAGCAAGCTTTTGGGGTAAATTAAAACTGTATGTAGAACAACATAGAAAGACTTGCAGATGGGTGGCAGTCGATTTCACCTCAACTTCTGCAAAATAAATGGTGAAAATTCCTAATGAAAAACTTTTTAAATTTAAAAATTCAAATTTTTTGTGTGTGGGAGACTTTGACAAATCTAATCTGTCTAAGCACACAGTCATAACTTACCTCTTTTTAACTATTTTATGAATCTGTAATTCTTTTTTTTTTTTTTTCAGGTGTATATATATAGGTGTTATATCAGAACACTCAAAAATTAGACTTCGTTTTAACATCGAGTTTTTTCAAGAAGCTGAAATCTGTACACCTGCTCCTGAAGTAAATGTGTAAACAATGTCTGAAAGAGATGTGCAGTCAAAGCAAACATCACAAAATACTAAAAGATACTCTCGCTCAAAAAATCAACACAGAAGGGTTACAATAAATACACTTACCTGAATTTAAAAAAATATCCAAGCAACTGCCGGCACTTTAATGTCTGCGACTGCTGCTACTGCTGCTGGTTGTGTAATCTCGCTCTCTGTCGCCTCTTTCACGTTCACCTCGTTCCCTTTCTATCCGTTCTCTGTCAGTGCGCTCCCTTTCTACCCTTTCTGCTCTCTCTCTGTCGGTGCGTTCACGTTCTGCCCTTTCTGCTCTCTCCCTGTCAGTCCGTTCACGTTCCACCCTTTCTCTATCGCCGCCAGTGCGTTCACGTTCGACCCTTTCTCTATCGGTGCGCTCCCGTTCTACTCTTTCTCTATCGGTGCGCTCCCGTTCTGCTCTCTCCCGGTCAGTGCGCTCCCTTTCTGACCTTTCTCTGTCAGTTCTCTCTCTTTCACTGCGCTCTCTCTCTCTTTCCACTCCTCTGTCACTTCTCTCACTGCGTTCTCGCTCACGTTCCCGTTCTCTGCGGTCATCATAGTGTCGATCCCTTTCACGATCTCTCTCCCTGGAACGCTCCCGATAATCACGGGAATCTCTCTCCCTGCTACGTGAGCGATGACGAGATCTCTTCTCCACCCTATCCCTCTCTCTTTCCCTATCTCTTGATCTGGAGCGCCTGCTACTTCTGAAAACATAAAAACACAAATTAATGTCACTTTAAGACATAAATATAAAAAGAAAACATATTTCACTATAATATATATCCCTAAATCAATGTCTTTACTGTCCACCTTTTCTTTAATTGATTATATTAGGAAACAATCGACATAGACCTAGTGTTATCTCCAAAAGCTCATGGCAACAGCTAATTATATTTTCTACAGCTGGATACCCAAACCAGAAAAGAAAATTAGTAACCCTACAGATGATATGTCTGCAAAGATTGTAGAAGTGACTAGAAAAGATAAAATCATAAATGTTAAAAAAAATTTAGCACAAAACTAATTTTGCATTACATATAAAAACGACCAATATATTGATCGCCCACTTAGAGAAAATTCCTTGTGACATAATATAATCTTACATTGAACTGCATCTAAGTCGCAGTGCATCTGCCTGGTGTGAGGTGGGGAACCAACAATCTAACTTGATAAACAGAACTTTCAGTCCGAGTTTACAGCCGGTGAATGTGAAGAAGTTGTTTTAATATCATGAGGAGCTTACTGTTCACATCAAAAGGAGACAAGCTACATCGTTTGGTCATGTCATGAGAAGACGAAAATTGGAGTACATCAAGATGGTCGTGGGAGGGGGGAAAGAGGCAGATGAAGACCGACAGAGAAAACAATCTGACATCCAGGCATAAAAATCATCTGTGTCAGAACTGACAGAAAGTATTTGAGACAGAAGGATGTGGACAGACATAACTACAAAAGCCTAATGGTAAAATACTATAAGAAGAAGAATAATGTCATGGGGACAGTAGTGCAGTAGCTAGCTTACTTGCCTGGTGTGCTATTTTAAATTCCTCTTGAGATAAAGATTTTATTTTGAATTTTAAAAAAGGATAACTGTGGCAGAAGAAGAGCAAAAGTTACAGGAACAATAACAACAAAACAGAAAGAAGAAAACGAAGTGGGGTGGAACGTGAGGTGACGATGATAATAAAGACAAAAGATAATCAGCTTGAATAAACATGAAAATAATATTTTGCAGAAGGAACAAAACCAAACATTAGACACCAAACAAAAGAAAAAAAACTAAATGTGCAAGTGTTGCTGGTTTAGAATGCAAAGGAATACCTTGATCCATAGGATTTCTCTTCAATGCCATGAAGTGTGTCCTGGAGAGAACTGATGAGAATCTTGCAGCGGTCATCTGCTGCAATCTTGGACTGTCTTATCAGAGAGATGGCTGTTACCAAAGTCTCTATAGCACTAGGGAAGTCTCCTGTGAATAAAAGAGCAAGGTTCAGCTTTCAGTATGTTCGGACAACTCCATTACGGAGGTCCCTGAGGCAAGCAGTGTAATCCCATAACTGCAGTAAGAAGCGTTTAACTACAAAGGGTTGGTTAGCCGATTCCTCATAAAACTTCAGCTGGCAAGACCCATGTTATTCTTGGTATCTGCTCCTCTCTTTGATGAAGAGGTACTAACAGTCTTGTTCAGTGTTTCTGCTTCTAACATAGGATGCATAAGCGATCATGGGCAAGTCTACAGGGGGATTTTTTTAAGGGAATATTCATTTTGCTTCTATTGTCAGAGAACAGGGAAAACACCCCCCCCCCCCCCCCCCCCCCCCCCCCCCCCCACTTTAAAAAAAAAAAATAGGTCAAGGACCCTTTTCATGCCAGTGGTGCATACAGTACTAGACTTTTTGTAGACCAATCAGCCTCAGCTATCTTTACTTCTCATGACGTAACCTGGTACGCATTTTAGGCTGAGTTGGCCTGAGAACCAAGGTCAATTTTGGAACAACAAAAAACATTCTTGACACGATGGGGATTCAAATACAAGACTTTCAGGCTGGCAGATCTGGGTCTAGCAACTCTCAGAAAAATATAATAACTTACTATTGTTCTTACTATGATTTGTAACCTGCGATTCCAATAATAATTTCTCAATTTCCCCATACCTGCTCTGTATTGACAATGACTAAGCCACAGAGACCGACTCTAAAACAAGATACCTTATACATACCAGCGACATGAAGCATACAGACAGGCAGAATAGTGAAACATTATTCAGAAGGGGTGGAGACATGGTTTTATAGGAATGGTGAGAATATCATTGAGACAGATAATTTTAAAAAAAAAACTTTACAGAAGATGACAGAAAATGACACATGAACAGAACTGCTTGCCAAAATCAGATGGAGACAATCTACAGTCTGTGTCCACCTCATGAGAAGAACAAACTGGAGTACATCATGTCGGTAGAGTAGTTGGACGAGAACAGCGGCAGAGGGAGACAGCGAAAGAAGATGCTGGATAATCTGACATCATGACATGGAAGACGGTCAGGGCGGTAAAATCAACTGAAAGTAACTGAGACTTAACGCATGGACTTATGAGGGGGAAAAAAATACACAAAACAACAGTATATACAACACAAAGATATTTACAATCCATAACCATTTTCATTTCAGCATTCTGAAATGGAGCTGAAGCTTTTTCAGAAATGACTTGACTCCCAGGTGGACCCAGCCTGAAATGGGTACCAGGTAAAATCCTGGGAAGTCAAGGTGACCGGCATGATGTTGATCATATATACCACTGAGTGCCGATTAGTCTATAAAATATAGGTCCAGCCTATACATCCAATACACCAGGAGGAATGGAAAAGGGTCATTAACTTTACTTACTCTGAAATAGGGAGCTAAGGTAGCACAGAGCCTGGCCTGGCCGAAGGTTTAGGGTTCAAATTTGCATACAGATGCAACATTTTCAGTACTAACCTTAGATTTTAGATCGCCCTGAGAAGTCAAGGTGATCAGCACGACTTTGACCACATCTCACATCGAGTGGTCTATGAAAATACAGGTCCATACCTATATGCCTGATTCCTGAATGGAGCCGTCCCTTTTTCAAAAAGTGACCTTGACTCTAAGCCTTAAATGGTCCCCAGGTAGTCCTGGGAAGTAAAGGCGGCAGGCACGATGCTGACTACATTACTCACAGAGTGTAAATTGGTCTATAAAATATAGGTCTACCCTATATGCCCAATGCAGCTGAAGGTGTGGACAAGGGTCCTGTGAGTTTACTATATGCCCGATGCACCAAAGGCATGAAACATAATCCTTCAGTTTACTGTACCTGAACTAGCATCCTGCACTGCACGATTTATAGCACTGCTGGATACAGTCTTATTTCGTTGGAAAATATCCTCAAATTCTTGGTCGGTGATCTGTGGTGGTGGCGGATCATGTCTGAAAGGCACAAATAAATGGTACAGTCATTTTAAAATCCTATGTCAAAATCAAAACCTGATGTTTAACAACAGCAAATATATAAGACTAGAGACTTAAGCTTGAAATAAAGTGCAAGGTGCACTGACAATACACCTTTTTAAACATTCAACAAGTAAGCACAATATTTCAAAGTACTGACGCTTAAAAAGCAAAATCATAATGACTAAAACTTATCTATGTGAATATTATGCATTTGTTAGTGTTACTACACAAGGAAATAGAGAACACAGAAACTATGAGCATACATTATAGATCAATCCGGAGGGGAGAGGGGAGAATAAACCTACTGCACCCTTGGCAAGAATGTCGTAAAAGATGTCTTATCATAAGTGTTTCCTGTAAAGTCAGAGTGCATCTGTCTGAGAGGCAAGGGCCAACAGTCTGCATACAAAAAGCCAGATTTGTTTTTAAAAAATGAATACACACACAAAGCTCAAGTTCTGGAGCATGAGCCAAAGTCCAGAAGTAGACATACAACCAGAACTTTCAGCTGAAGTTTACAATCGATGAAGGCTAAGAGAAAATAATACATTAATTCAACATGAACTATGTGTTGTTGAGATATTTACTGTTTTCACACACACAAACACAGACACACACTGAAAACCAGCACTGAACTGAGCTGATTACACACAACTGTATATCAGAATGTGAAGAGATGGTTCATATTATTAAATGCCCTTAAAAATGTTTAGTTATTTGGGGTGGAATTAGTTTAAATGTGGATTCGCTGTGGTGTCAAATACTGTTGTAATTATTATGTCACCCAGCTCTCTGTCGCAAAGTGACCTTTTAAATAGTCAAAAGAAAGAAAATCAGGTGTTTTTGCTTAATTTGTATTTGGTGATTAATTCTCTTCTCAGAGATAAACTTTTTTCCTGATTTAGACATTTGTGACTTTTTCGTGTGTGCATGTGTGTATCGACATGACATCAAAGAAGCAGAGGACATTACAGCTGCCTGTCTTGCCAGTGGTCTGGGGAGTTGGACCCTCTGGATATTTATAAAATGTGACCGTGACTCCTATTTATTTATGTTTCTTTTTCTTGTTTTTTATGGCAGAGTTTCACACAATTATGAGGATGCATTTTTTTTTAAACAAAATTTGAAAAAACATTTTTTTTAAATTTCTTACAAAGTGAAGTAGTTTGAGAACTGGCTGATCCCTGCAGAGTCTATTTAATGGCTTTGGTGCTGTTTGCATCTACAAAGTTTCTAGATGTGCCAGGTAGGCTTATATAACTGAAATTTGGATTATTTTGCATGAAAATTCCTTTTTTGGTCAGAGCAGCATCCTAATTTGCTTTCAGTCGTCATTTCGTGCCCTGTCAGTGTGTCATCAACAACAAATATTTACCATAGGTAAAGTATTATTCACTTAATACTCAGATCCAGTCGTGTCTACTGATTTCCTGCCTATACATATTTCTGAATCACTTTTGTTTAAACTGTCCAAAAAGATTAAAATTGTTTTAGAGTGACTGTGATAACATGGTAACCAGCACACACTTTTGTCTGCCAGGTCAAAGGTGGCACCTTTTGGATTTTTATAAAACCAACTAAAACTCCCAAGTTCCAATTCTTCTCTGCATACTATGCTCAGAGAAAAGGCAAAACAGAAATACAACCAAACCCGATCATCACCATTAGAATTGGAACTCTGCATTGGCTGCTGAGGATAGGGGCACATATGGGAACATCCTGAGTGCTGTGATGTCAATTCTAGACTCAACTCAACTCTCTTCTCTTTTTACAGTTTCTTATGCTAGCGCTGACAGAACTATGTGATTTTTCTTATGCACTAAGCAAAAAACTCTTGTTTCCCCTACGATATACCTGAGGGATCACAGGGTTATAGCCCTTTTTTTTTCACCCAAAGCTTCCAGGAGAGGGAGGTCAACAAAGCAATAAAAAGAACCAAATGTTAAACAAGTTAGTAATTCTAAAAACTTCAACAAAACCCAAGCCAATTTAACAAGCAAAACTTATTAATTCAACCCCACCTGACAAGTGTTTTTCTTAGCTCTGAGCGAGACAACCTAACAACATATGGTGTAAAAACCATATATTTTCCATATAATAATAGTAATAATAATATTACTCATTAGGCCAAATAATATTTCAGGATGCTAGAGTTGCGACTAATACTGAAAGTAAGCACAATAAATGACTGTAATAAACAATAGCTGCTGTCACATTGTGGCTAGCATAATGGTCCATCAGCGGTTGATTATCTCTTCAAGACCTCTCAAAGCAGGGATTTATTCTGTGGCTTCTGTGCCAATGCAACCTAAAATTAGTACTAGGCAATCTTCACCTACTAGTACTACATATGATTTAGATATAGTGCTATTATTGACACTATATGGCAAACTGGGAGACGCCATGGTCTAGTGACTAGAAACCCGCCTGTGGATCTGAAGGTCACGGGTTCGAGCCCTGATGGACTTTTTTTCTTAAACGACCTTCACTCCCAGGTCAACCCAGCTTCAAATAGGTACCAGGTATAGTCCTGGGAAGGAAAGGCAGCCAGCGCGATGCTGACCACATTAGCTACTCAGTGTCGACTGGTCTAAAAAATGTAGGTCAAGCCCAACATACCTAAAGGTGTAGAAAAGGGTCCTTTACGTGGCAAACTACAAACTACAACTATATATATATATGTGTGTGTGTGCGCGCGGGTGTGTGTTTTATTCGTTATATTGCAAACGTTTATACAAACACTTTTTATCAGTATCACTGGATCTATGTAATTCTAAAAGACATGTAAAATAAGGGAAACCTCATTAACACAAATTTCCAAGGACTGAAAATTTAGTTGTTGTTTTTTTTTTTTTTATGTGTGCTAACAAATTCTACTGTCTTGCTCAGCTTACAACAATGAAAATAAACAAATTCGGCATCAGCCAACTTCATCCCAGGAAATATAATAACCTGAAACTAACTTAAGCCTTTATTTGTTATAAGAATTAAAATCGAAGTCTGCAAAACAAAGAGGTTAAGTCGTTTGCCTCATGCTGTAAATCTAAAGACTGGTTCTAATTTTCAAATCTTATCCCTTCGGTTCCCGAGTGCAGATAATTTTGGAGACACCTGGGGTCGCTGCTGGAGCCATGGAGTTTGTGGACTTCGTGCAACTCTCTCACAGGCGGCTAGCTGCTCTGCAGACAGAGACTGAGCCATATAGGGTAAAAAATTTGAAAGTTGAAGAGCAAACAATAAAGAACTGCAAGAAATACGTGACAAATAAATATTTTTATTTTACGGTGAGCTTCCGGCGGCCATGAAACAGAGACAATGTATCGGAAGAAACTATTCGCATTTCAGTTGAATTTATTCAGTTTTGTGCTTTAATTTATGTTGATGTAACTCTGTAGTAACGCACCTGATGAGATACAGCGAAATATGCCTGGCAATAAATTGTTTGTATCCGCATTATTTAAATAAAAATTTAAAAAACAACCCGGGTGTGAGCAAATAAATAACATTATGAATAGTAATAGTCCTTCTCTATTGGGTTATTCCAGATAATGCACACACACACAAACAAGTATTACAATAAGCAAAGTCAGTAAATTGAGAAACAAAACAGAGTCAGTTAATTATTAGCAAAAGGGGTCATACCTGTGATTAAGCTTAATTAGCACATTAGAACTGTAAATGGTGAAAGCATATAAGCAAATAAAAGAGACAGAAGTAGGAAATAATATTTGATAATATAAGAAATCAACAACAACAGAATATGGAAATGACAATAATAAACACAGGCAAAAGATTGAAATGACGATGAACAAAAGAGGCATAAGATTGAAATGACAATGATAAACTGAGCCATAAGATAGAAATAATAATTATCAATAAAGGCAGAAAATCAAAATCACAATAAATAATAAATACACAAGCTGGACATAACAATGAACAGCAAGATGGACATAACTGAATAGGAGGCAGAAGATGGAAACGACAATTATCAACAAAGTCAGAAAATTAAAATGACAAATGATAATGCCCCGATTGAGGCAATGGATGGAAATTACAATGCTCGATTGAGGCAAAAGATGGAAATGATAATGGCGACAATTAAGAGAGGGAAAAGATGGAAATGACAATACCCGATTGAGGCAAAAGATGGAAATGATAAAAGTCAAAATTAACAAGAAAGGCAAAAGATGGAAATGACAATGATCAGTAGAGGAAAGCTGTGGAAATGTTAATAGTCGAAAGGGGCACAATTTGGAAATGACAATGATCAACAGGGGGAAACTAAAAATGACAATGATCACTCGAGGAAAAATATGGTAATGACAAAGAATAATAGATACAGAAGATGGAAATAACAACGAACAGCAGGCAGAAGGAGGAAACGACAATGATCATTTGAGACAAACAATGGAAACTATAATGAAGACAATTACCAGAAATAGACGATGGAAGTTTCAATGATCAACAGACGCAACAGATTTAAATATAAAAGAGGCAGAAGATGGGGAAAAAACCACACAATATAGATAATGGAAGCCAGTGAATGACGCAAATGTGTCTAGTAATGATAAAATGAAGTAGATGGCTGACAAATGATAAATGTGAAAATCAATATAGTTAAACTGACAAATCCTGGGATGTTTCTCTCTTTACCAGGGGCTTATATTCAGGTTTGTGTACAGCAGTAGGTGGCAATTTCTGCAAGAATCCCATATCCTTGTGAAACCTGCTACTTTTACTTAACTAAGGACATTCATAAACACATTAATTCTAGTATTTAGTTCAGCTAGCACTCCATTAAAAAAACTATTTTTGCTCCTCTATTTACAACTTTGAGGTTTAGATTTTAGGTTTAGGTTTAAACAACAAATCAACATCACAAATCACAATCAACAAATCACAAATCAACGGCACTAGGGAAGTAATCCATAAGTCTTCCATTCTACTTCTAACTCAAGCCTGAGTCCAAAGAATCTCAGCGCAGAGTGCGAACTCAATAGCACCGGCGTGGATCTTGAAATACTTTGGTTAGATTTTTTACCTCAACATTTTGCCCGGACAGTGCTTAAGCCTACACTTTTTGATTTCCAACTGCTGAGGAATTTTTTTCTTGTGAGCAAAAATACACATGTGCGTTCAATCCTACTACCCAGAGGCCAGAGGAAATTAGTAGAAGTCCATGTGAAGAATCACAGCCTCCACCAGGACCTCTCGCACCCGAGGCGGACGCCATGCCTTGAGACCACTCAGCCCCCATTGATTTACCACTTTTACCATAGTACAGTGCAGTGCAGAGGGTCTTCAGTCTGAGGATTTAGAATTCCTGGGCTACAGCAATCACAACCTACTGCATGAATAGGAGAAGGAGGAGGAGGATGGAGGAGGAGATGAAAAAAATTTTGAAAGCACTCTATAATAATCATCGGCTGAAATATATGATGTGCATGAACACAAACTCAAATAATAATTTACTTCAATATGAAGCATCAAGTGTGAGAACACTACATAAAATTTACACATGTCATAATATAAGTCGTCCCCTTGTGGGATGCAATTTTCTGGCTATTCTGAAGCCCCACCCTGGCTGTTGCCAGGGGCCCTAATATAACCTAACGGTTGAAAGGGGTTTCCCAGACCACTCCTCGGGTATTCTCATCCACATCGTGACACTTTGTATCACAGAGTGTTAATCCCTCTGTGTGATGTCCTGGTGGGGTAAATCATACTTACTTACTTAGAATCTGCTTAAGAATTCAGTCACAACAAGCAACACTACAAAACTTGCCTTTCAGGTGGTGGTCTGGAATACTGAATCTCAGGATAAGATGATGCTGGAGGAGCTCGTCCATATGGATCAGGAGGAGGGTGTCCGGCCTAGTTAAACAGAAACAAAAACATGATGAGAAGACAGTTAAGATTCTCTTCATACCCAAAAAACCTGGTGAGGGTAAAAATGCTGTCACTGTGTGAGTTTAATGATGAGAAACTCTTAACTGATCTCTTCATAATAGATGACAGTATGGTAAACATAGTTCAGGAGACATAAATAAGCGGACAACTGCACCTGAACAGAATAGTGCACTATTTTTTAGGTAATACTGCCCCCCCCCCCCATATAAAGACATCACCACATGTAAATACAATATGCGTATTCTATTTCTTCTTCTTCATTGCTCATTCAAGTTATGTAATTGTGAATTTTTTATAGCATAGCTGTGATACCTGTACCTTTTGGCAGAAACATCCGACTCCATTTTTGGTTTGCCTTCCTGATTAGTTTTGTAGGATATTTATTGCACAGCCTCATTGTGATGTTGTCATCTTTGCCATCTGGTCTGCATTTAAGATGCAATGTCAGTTGAATCCAAGTAGCGCTGCATCTATCCATTGAGAACTGATGCAATTGCAAACAACTTAGTCTTACTGATTAGTTTTCTAGGATATTTACTGCTCAGCCTCATTGTAGTGTTCTCATCTTTGCCATCTGATCTACATTTAAGATGCAACGCCAGTTGAATCCAATAAGTGTTGCATTTTCAGATTGAGAACTGATGCAAGTGCAGACAACTTAGGGTAACAAAACTGTTATTTTTGTCTTTAGCTACATTGTCTTCTTTGTCTTTATATGTGTGGCCCACTTCTGGGTCAGCAGGGAAAACATCTGGTCACTGCAATACAGCAAACCTCATGCTTAAACAATTCTGACCTATATGAATACTTACATTTGGTGGCGGGCCAGGAAGTGGGGGAGGATAAAACGGAGAATGTCCTGGTGGCAACACATGACCAGGAGGTGCTCCTGATACAGGCGGCATGTTTGGAGGAGGCATACCTGACAATGACAGACAATGGAATTAAACAACTTGTTGCTAATTCTTTGATTTATTCATGCAAAAAAACATGCTTATTTTCTATTTATTTTTCTTCTAACAGTTGAAGTCTGCAGAAAATTTAGATGTAATTTTATTCTGGCATGACGACACAAAAACTAAGAACGATGGTATGCATAGTAAGCAGTAAACAAATTCAGAGAATTCCAAGAATCAAATGGTTTGGTCATGTGGTAGGAATGAACAAATAGTCAGCAGATAGAGTGCAGTACATCAAGACAAGAGGCAGACCAAGACAGAGATGGAGAAAAGAGACACTACTGAAAAGCAATATGACATTAACACAAGCTAAGTAGCTAAGTGACTAGCCAAAAACAGGAAACTACATCCAACTCCTCTCCGCAATGTTTTATGGCATAAGCAGTAGGATAAAAGAAGAGGAAGGAAATGACATGCCCCCCCCCCCCCCCCCCCCCCCCCCCCCCAAATTATTTTTTGTTGCACACACACTCACAGACTTTACCTGCTGATGTGGCCGCTGGCTGAGATATCTTTAAAATGAACTCAAGATGATGATGAACATCTATGATAGTTGACCTACCTTACACATCCAGATAACTGACTTCCATACTTAGAGATAAACAACACAACCTTAAAAAATATTTTATTTTAGAATATATTTTTTCTTTCACCAGCAGAGTTCAATACCAGTCCTTCTATTTTCTTGAAAAATGTACTTTTAGGTAGGACAATTCCTTCTGATGTATGCTGTTGTAATGATGCAGGTTGCATACTATACTGTTCATCAATAATCCGCACTCTCTGTGTGTCTTGATATCTATTCTATATTTTCCATATATTCTATAGTCACATTGTATCTCTGCCTCATTTCTTTGTTTATATAGATATAACTTGATGTTTTGTGGTGACTTCTTTATAGTGCTTTGCTCTGATTTCATCATTCACATAAAGGAAACCTAATAGCTGCACTTCTTCTTTGAAAACCTTTAGAAGACAACACAAATAAATGCAAGTAGCAGTCAGACTGAGACTGTTAACATCTCAAAGTTTGTCTTATTTTTGCTTCAAAGAATGCACTAGGACTTTTTTCCATATACAAAAATTGACTTTTATTCATATACCATGGGAACAATAATTATGAGACTTAAGGATGGCACACACAAAAAGCAATGACAAATTTCTGACAATAAAGTTCTGCTTCTGTATTTCACAAGAGTGGTGTTTCTTGAATTATGAACCACACCAATTCATTATCAAGGTGCACTGGTGGCGGCTGTACTCCTACTGGTCATTCGGCAAAATACTCTTGATTCTATCTAGCTGATGATGTTAAGCATGGCTTATGTTTTAGGGTAGTAAAAAAAAGTAAAGATCCCTTTTCACACCTTTTGGCGCATCGGGCATATGGGCAGAGTGTCCCATATTTTTACAGACCATCAGCACACTGTGGGTAATGTGGTCAGCATTACGCCGGCTGTCTTTACTTTCCCAGGGCAGCCCATCCTGGTACACAATTTAGGCTGGGTCGACCTGCGACGTCCCATACCACGATAAAAATCCACGCAGCCTGTAGTGGGTTTCGATCGCGGTATGCTGGCTTACGAGTCGGACTCGCAGCGCCTTAGCCGCGGACGCCGCGTTTTAGGGTAGGGCTTATATTAAAAGCATCCTGAAAACAGTGTCAGGGTTATCTTGGGGATACGCTGTAGTTTCAAATCTCAAATTACTAAATAAAAGTAAAAACAAATACCTTAGACAATGAATATCCAAAATTAGGCACAACTTGACAACAGTAAGACATACCTGGTCCAGCAATATGAGGAGGTCTTAATCCTGGCGGGGCAACTGGCTGAGGTGGTGGTCCACCAGGTGTAAACGGAGCTAGAAAGAGAAAGAAAATGGAACAGTAAGAACTTCCCCATCTATTAAAAACATCCATCTGTAAGCCCACAAGCTTGGTTGCATGGGCTCTGATTAAATCAAGGACAATTATCTTCCTGTTTCAAACTAAATAAATGTCAGTAACAGTTATGATTATTTTACAAAATGAGGAGGGAATGTTGACCCTATTACCCATTACTTCCGACTGATCTTTAAACTTCAGTCTACTACCACATGTTGAGCCCAACATCAGGAAAATGGTCATTTACTTCTATCTGTAAACAACATATGTAAATAGCGACCACCCCGCCCCCCCCCCCCCCCTTTTTCCCTTTTTTTTACAATCAATAAATCACATGGTGCCTTAATTATAATGGTTAATTTAAATTTCTGTAACGTGGTGTCATTCTGATGGTTTCAGATGAATTTTGTCCATTATCCACAGTTGTGGATTCAAGCGGTACGTTAAACATGGCAAATGATACCTTTTTATGGTCTTAGTGGGAGTACACTTGTTACTGCAGTGAGGCAGATTCTCAGTATGGTAACTATATCTTTTGATATTTAAGTTGTCCTAGATTTAAGCAGACCTAGTAGCTGACCTAGAAGTCAATAATAAAAAAGTGGTCACATGCAGATTTGAACCCAATACATAATTACATTTGGTTCTGCATATCGGTTATTGCGACTTGTATACTCACGTGGTTTAGGGTTTCAATAGAATTACTGGATATAGTAAAAATAACACTGAAGACACAGCAAGAAGTAATTTTAAAAACCCAAAACGTCTGCTCTACATTGACAATTCTTATATTTATGTGCAGTTCTGATTTGAACCCAACATGTAATTTTCAAATATGATTCTGCATGTTATGACTTTTTTTCTGAACTCATGTGGCTTCATTAGCATTACTGGTTATAGCCAAAACAAAAACACTGAAGACAGCAAAATTAATTAAATAAAAACACGCAATATCTGCTCTTTTCTGAAGATATCCATGTTTCTGTGCAGTTTTATAATACAAACTTAAATCATTTGGTCCATATTATAAATATTCACTTCCCAGAACATCTGGCACCCATTTGAACCTAGGCCGATATGGGGAACACGACAAAAATTTTTCAATTCCCATTTGAAGTGGATTTTGAATACACACTGACTGTCAGAGACAACTAAAAAAAAGTCTGGCCACATTAAAAGACATAATACTCTTAAAAACTATACTGGAAGTAAAGGTTGGAATCCAGACAGCAAAAGGTAGATACAGGTGCTAGTGGCAGGACACCATCATGAGATGGACAAACAGAAGTCTCAAAGAGTGTCCAACCAAGGCAAGAGTCAGAGCCTGTTGGAGATCCGTTATAGCCAACCTTCCCTGTGAAGACAGCATGTAATTGATTCAACACATGACCACTAACTAGGCTAGCAGGCTAGTGCATCAGCTGATAAATATGAAAATGTGAAACTTTGTTATAATTAACTCTTACTGCCAACAAATATGAACGGTCATTATTACAATTTAAGCTATATAGACACAGGGGAAGCCTGCCGTGGGGTAACAGGTAGCCTGAGGGTTCAAAGGTCGTGGCTTAGGGTTCTGAGGCAACCAGATTGTTTTTAAAGACCTTGGCTCCCAGTTCAACCCAGCCTTGAATGGGTATCAGGAATAGTCATGGGAAGTAAAGGCGGCTGGCATGATGTTGGCCACATCACCCCCTGAGTGACAACTGGTCTTTAAAAGTATAGGTCTAGCCCTATATGCTCATTACACCTGAAGGCGTGGCAAAGGGTCATTTACACAGCCACGAATGAACTTATTTAAAACACCGTACACCATTATATTTTAAAACCAGTAGGATTTAAAGCAAAGAGAAGTCTCACGAAAACAACGATAGAACAGCATGGCTGCATTAAATTTTCAATGACTTCAAACCTTCTAGACCAATTTAAAGCATGCACAGTACACAACTGCATTTACAGGTAAAAGCAAAGCCTCATTTACTTAACCCTCAGTCATTTGCTGAATGACAGACAAACAGAGGACAATTAAAATCCAAAATGTCAGCAGCAGATCATTCAGCCTTGAACATAAAATGTTTCATCTCTGCCTCAATTAATAAATATGAGACCCACAAACCAGTCCACCACCTCAATAGACAGAAATATTAAAAACATAAGGGTTGTCAAATGTGTCTGCTACACTTTTAATAGTAGGTAAATAGACAATGGACAGTTGTTTCTTTTATTTTTTATTAATTATTATTTTTTTAGTAAGAAGTCTTTTTTTTTCTTTGTTTGCCTTGAACCTTTCATCCTGCGGGTTATCCGGTAAATTAAAACACAACCCACACAGAGATAGCCAGCTTGCTACTCTCACAGTGAAAAGCCTTTCTGACCAGTTTCTAATACGGGAAAATAGGGTTAGCCCTATATTTTATAGACCAACCATCAAGTGGTGGCCGATGTGGTCAGGATTTTCTTTTATCTGGACCAAAAGCACTTGAACATGGCTCATCTGGCTCAGTGCCGTGAAAATCAGAGCCCTTCAGCCTCAGTGCCATGTACACTGTTAATCTGAGGAGTTTGCAGCTTTTCCGCCATTGCCTGGCTCAAACCCGAGACCGGACAGGCATGAAGACTGTCACCTGATGTCCAACCCACTATAAAACTATGCTGGAGCTTAGGGGCATGTGGTCAGGATCACCCAAGTCCCTTTTACTTCCCATGACTTTTACTTGGTGCCCATTAAAGTCAGGTCAGACTGAAAGCCAAGGTCATTTCTGAAGTCCAGCATGGTCTGAATTTGAACCTATGATTTGTAGATCAACAGGTGAGAGTCTAGTTTCTACACCACGCTGGCTAGTTTTACTATGTAAAAAAAAGTTGGGAAAAAGTAAAGGACCCTTTCCAAACCTTCAGGCATATAGGGCCAGACATATATATTTTACAGAGCAATCAGCATTTGGTGGGTGATGAGGTCAGCATCATGCCGGCCACCTTTACTTCCCAGGATGCACCCGGCACCCACTCCCAAGAATGTTTGAAGCAAATCATGCAAATATTCTCCTTCACCAGAAAAGGTCACACATTTCAATTATTTCTGGACAAGCAATAAATCATACAAGTAACAGAAGATGCCAAGCCAATTTTCCATAGAGAGAAAAAAAAGTAAGGCACATTGAAGTGAAAAAAGAAAGAACTGAATGAAATAAATGATGCTATTACTCAGTGCCTGATCCCACTCTGCTGAGGAGTAAACAAAAATCACAAGGCTACTACAAGGAAAACAAACTCTAATAGTTTGCAGACAAATTAAGTCCCTGTTTGGTAGGAAACATTTTTACACAACTAAGAAACTTTTCTTCTTGAGTGTTTGTCCACAAAGCTGACATGATGTGAGGATGTGTTATCATTTACAGCTAGAGTGCGATTTTTGCTCCCTTCAGTCAACACATCTGATTTCAGCAAACCTTTGACTAGTTGAATTCTACAACATGTTTGTTGGGGGCTAGTGGGCCTATTCTTTTTCCCCCATAGTGGGGCCTGAGACCTCCCACAACGTGGTAACTTAATACCAAGTGACACATACTATTATTATATTTGCAATAAAGGCAACTAAGCAATATCCTCACATTCAAGATGTACTTTTAGTAAACAAACAAGGTTTCAATTACAGGAGATTATCTCATACAAATAATGCTTTCGCTTTAGTATGTTCCTCCTCATTACATTTTTTTTTTTTTTTTTTACTAAATCTGGCCTGAGAAAAATAAAAGAAGAGAAATAAGAAAACTTACTGCCAGGTGGAGGAGGTTGTGCTTTAATTAGGGGAGAGAAAAACACACAAAAGTTTTAGAATTTAAAAAAAATTGTCCCCTCCTCCCAAGTGAATATTTTTTGGAGGGCCATAAACAACTTCTGCCCATGATTAAGATAAAATGTCAACTGTGTCACATACATATCTGTCCAACCGTGGAGACAAAATCTGGTTAAACATTCAGTGAGTTCTATAAGACACTGAGCTACATACAGGGCACACTGTGCTCCATCCATATTATACACACCAGTTGTAATGTCAGTTGCCTTGACTTCCCAGGACATCTCATGGCTCCCACTTCAGACTGGGTTAAACTGGAAGCCCACTTTAATATAGATTTGAACCCTTGACCACTGAGCGGAAGGCAAACTTATTAACTGATGATCGAGGGTTTCCTACATGCATGAAGGTTAAATTCTGTGCCATCTCCACAATAAAGGTTGGCTACAGCGTACCAATGCTGTCTTTAACAATGTTAAGTGATGTGGTCCTAATCTTTTCCACGGCATGACTCTCGTATCACAATCCACAATTCAAATGTTCTGCATGGGAATCCTGCCCCAGTATTCAAATGTTGAATAAAATATCAATATCACAGCACTAAGGACACTCCTATAAGCGCTCCATCACCATCTTCAGCAGCAAGCAAAGAGTTCCAATTCTAACGGCACCAGTAACTGTCTGATTGTACATCTATCTCGCCTTTCCCTTGAAATACTCTAGCATTCACAGATCGCAGAACTGTTAAACGCGATCCTCAATCTTCAGAACCGCATAGGTGCATACACGTATGAATAAACAAAGCAAATTTTTACTACAACTAAATAAAAAAACAATGATCCTTACATTCATATATTTTTCCCGTGATGACAAAGAAAAGAAGTCCAGGATCAACACAGAACTGAATCTGCACAACTCCTCCCCCCCCCCCCCCCCCCCCCCCCGATGGATAATAATCACATAGCTAAAGTAATCAGCCTAAAGTGATCATCAACAAATGTTACTGCCTGACGCGCCACAGGTCCTGTACAAACAAATAAAATACCTGGAACTGGCAGTGTCAGGTATCACACCGAACAAATAATTCCTGCAACTTCCACCAAACACCATGACACCAGTGAAAGCAGGCTGTTCCTGTGAGGGTTCTAGGGCCCCTTTTCAAGGGTCCCTTGAGAATTTGACACTTTTAACTGATAACTGACACTATTTATATTTCATTTTTATCTCGCTGGAGACATAACTGTTGAAAATGAAATGACAAGATACTCATTGTGGCAATTTCAAAGAACTTAACATCAATGGACAATTTGTTATCATTCATGAACCGAACCATCAGTTTACAAACGTGACCACTGGGTTAAAATTAGGCCCAAGAAAAATATGATTTCAATTATCAATTGTCTCCATACTATTATATTCTGCTACACAAAATTGCTTACAGGACTGCAGACATATATGTTTCATTTAAGCACAGAAAATGTCTTCTAAAATAAACACTACTCAATATCGGGTGCTTTCCCGATATATCTCTCCAGGATGATGTCACAAGACAGTCCACTATTTGAGGGTAGTAAGAGCGGGTTTCCCAACTTTCTGATGCTTTTAACTACCCCAAAACATCTATATTTGGGCCTAACCCCATCTATGTCCCATTAGAGAGTGCAGTCTAGGTCCCACGAGGGCATGCAGCCGATCTACCACACTGTCTGTCCGGGGGAAGAAATTGGGATAGAACCTAATATTGTTAATATAAAGGCATTCTAAATTGGTTCAATGATTAATGAGTTATCAAAGAGAAAGAAAAAATGAAATTAAAGATACTATTACATAATTTCCCCATTTCCAGTCATGAATTTAACTCTTCATGTAATAAAGAACTCACCACAAGTTCTTTGGTTTTCTATACATGGTACAAAATTTTTTGTATTCTTTGTCTCATGCTTCTGATAGCAACTTATTCTATCTTAGTTCTATCATTCCATTACAAAACTGTATTTTTCATAAATAATCGTTCTTCTAAGGCACAAAAATAGATTAAACTAAATTAAGAAGTACCTCGGACTGATAAATTAACACTTAAATATACTCCCATGAAAATTTATTTTCAAGCCAGATGACATTTTAAGCGCTCGCGCATGCACACACACAGAGAGAGAGAGAGAGAGAGAGAGAGAGAGAGAGAGAGAGAGAGAGAGAGAGAGAGAGAGACAGAGAGAGAGAGAGAGAGAAGGAGAGAGAGAGGGGGAGAGGGAGAGAGAGAAGGGGGGGGGGGGGTTTTTGCGCTGATTTGTTGTGACTGCTTTTTCCAGCAATGATAAACTGCAATTTTTAGTGGTGGAATATTTATGTTTGCAATTCTGGTGACTGCCTTATGCTTAACGCCTGCGTATACCACTGGAATGATTTTGCTGAGAACAGTCTGTTTCAGTTTTGTCGCAAAGGACATCGATGGACACTTTGAGTGATTTTCACTGGCCCGGAAATAGAGTAACTATAGGACCCATTGGAAATGTTGTTGTTAACTAATTAACTGAGTTAAACAATATCATTATGAATACACATTTCACTGTACATATTTTAACACTTTTAACGAAGACAGTAATACAAATTTCATTAGTTTAAACATTCTTATGTAAACCATGAATCAGCATTTCTTTTACTGAACTCTCATGTCAAGAAACGCTTGAAAATCTCTCTTTCTCCAGCCATTTCTCCAGCCCTGTGTGCTTTCATAGCCAATGCATCCTTAGTGTCCTGTATCCGTGTCCAAAGAGGTCGACCTCTGCCACGTTTTTCAGAAACTGCACCTCCATCACCGTTCTCTCCAGACCACCATGGCGCTTGACACGTCCAAAATGCCTCAGCGAGAGGCTGCTGTTTACCAGCTAGTTCTCCTTGATGTTCAGGTCATGCAGGAGTTTTTTCTTCTTTTTGGTCCATGGTATTCTCAAACTTTCTCTGTAGCACTTTAAAGGCTCAGGTTTCTTCTTTAAATATTGAGTATATGACTCACATCTATAAGTTGCCATAGAAAGATGCATGATCTCAAAATGTTTACTGTAACTTGTTTGCAGGTTCTATGCCATAGATTCATGTTGTTTAGCCTCTACAATGCTAAAGCAAGTCTTTTTCTAAATAATTTTGTGAGGTTGCCGTTCACTGCTGAGTTTAAATATTAAAAATATGAGTGATTTTCAAGCTCTTCATTGTCATGTGGTGCGCTGTATTTGGGTTTTTTTTTTAAAAACCAAATTGGAGGGAAATTCTGTAAGCAAGTGAGCAAGGCATAGACTGCGAAAAAAGTGGGAGATAACATCAAGACACCAAACAAACAGTAGACTGGGACAAGTGTACAGCCAGGATAAGAGACAGAAAGTGTTGAAGTTCCACCACAGCCAACGTTCACCCTGTGGAAACCAGCAGACTGACTGTCCAAGAGTGCTTCACAATGCATTACCAAAGCAATCATCCAAGTGAAAATGTGTCTGCCCTTAAAAGGTAGAGAGCTTTCCAAAAGATACCAGAAAGGGAAATCATAAATAAGGCAGGCCTTTTTTTCACATAAGACATGCAATGGGGAAAAATAAGCAGAGAAAGAGTCACCAATAAAGAGCTAATAACACTGACAGGCACAGTGCTGGTAAATGATTTCATAAAACATCAACAATCAAACAGTTTGGATCATCTGGTCAGAATGGAACAAAATCAGCCAGTTGCTAGAGTGTACTACATGAGAACAGGAAAAAACAAGAGGCCGACCAAGAAAGATATGGACAGAGGTAGTAAAAGAGACTACAGAACTGCAATATGTCATTAAGGCAAGCGAGGCTACTAGCAAAATACAGTAAACTACATCTAACCCTTTTCTGGGATGTTTTATAGCATTAGCAGTAGGACACACACAAAAGGAGTAAAGTAGTCAGTGCATATGGTGCTAGACCCAACAGTGTTTGGTGAGTGATGCGCTGTAAATCAAATTCACTTCCAATACCTTCCAGAACATTTTCTGGTACCAGTTTTAGGCTGGGTTGACCTAAGAACACTTCAGACAACTATTTTTATTCTCTTTTTTTAAAAATCCGCTCCAATGTGCATTCAAGCCCATCATCTTTGGGCCAGCACATCTAGCCAATGTGCTATCGCAGATCCTAAAAGCCACACATCAAGGGTTTTTCGTTTTTGGCGGTGTGCAGTGGTACGCACCACTGGTACCCTTTCAATATATTTTTTGGTGCTACTATAATAACAGTGGTTCCCGAGGCGTAGCAGCTAGATGCTCAGCTGCGGATCTGAACGCTGGTTCGCCAGTTCAGGTCCTGATGGCCTTGGCTCCCAGGTAGAAAGAACCTTAAATGGAGACCCAGTACAGTCCTGGGAGGCGGCTGGCAGAATGTTTACATCACCCATCGATCTGCGACTGGTCTATAAAATTGAGGTCTAGCCCTATATGCCCAATACATCTCGCCATGTAAAAGGGTCCTTTACTTTAATATGCACTTTCAAGGGAGTACCTGGATCTTTTTAGACACTTTTTTTTGTGTGAGCACCAATTTTTTATCTAGTAAAAAGCCCTGAATATATAATTACAGTGTATTCACTTCAGAGATGTTAAATAAATTAGTGATTTTATGAGAATGAAACTACTGGGATCAAGTATAAACACACACAAACCCAAATACAGAGCTATAAAAAGACAAACAAAACCATGAATAATACACTTGAGGAATTAGAAGTGACCAACTGTTTTCTTCTGCCCTTCCAGCCCCCAATGGAGCACAGGCCCTCAACCAACTCACGCCAAGTCGTTCTATCCCTGCTATCATAGGGTGACCAACTAAGGCAACACATCTGGTTGCAGAATACTTTCTTAGCTGACTTCCTTTACCACTACAATTAACAGTAGGTGTTTATACAGATAACACTTTCAATATCTAGGGTACATAATAAATGCAAATGGAAATGAAACTATTTAGCAAAAGTAAGGACAATAGCTACATCAATGTAAAGCTTAAACAGCATTAAAAGCACTAGCGAGCAAATCAAAGACAAAATTCCAGACTAAGTATCTTTCATGTAGCAACATACAGACTGGAGTTGTCTATATCACATTCACTGAGCAAAAAATATGAGCGTTTGAGCTGAAATTATAGATATTAAGAATTCCATAAACCAGGGAACACAAACTATTTAGGTCCTAAAAGATCTGAGCATCAAAGGAAGTGGCCAATAAACAGCATCTTGCATCGAAAGTGAAATAATTTGGCCATATCCACTGCCACCTTGTTATCAAGTGAAAACAAAGGGTACCATATCAAATGCCACGGTGGACTGGGTAGAACAGTGGCAGAGGGCTTGAAGCCAGATAACAGAGAAAGGACCAAGCTGCACAAAGAGGACAGAGCAAAGCCACTTCTTGTGCAAAATAAACATCATCAACCATCTGGAACTAATAACAGAAAATCTCCCTTCCTGTGTTTCTTTCACTGAAATTCAAAACATTTCAACTGCCAATGTGTATCACCAAGCAAATTACATACAATGATACAAGATTTCTTTCTAGAGCTAAATAAAAAGTACACCAGTGCCAGTTTATGTTAGTGATATAAATAAAATAAAAAATAGAAGTAACAGGTAAAAACAAACCTAGCGGTCCTTGTTGTAGGCCGCGGAGAATGTCTCTGTTCATTGGGGGCCCTCCTGGCATGGGGGGCCTCCCTGTAGACATTAAGCAAGAGTAAGTACGTACACAATTACTGGCATCTTCATCAACATGTTAAACCCTTCATTATTTCCAGCCAGCAACCTTAGCAAGTTTAAAATTTCTTCACTTAACCTGCCATCTCTATTATATATCTATTAAAAAAAATGCCTGTGTGTTGCCAGTAATGTAAAAGAAATAAAAATAATATTACATCCTACCAAATAAGTCATCAGAGACAACCCAAAAGGACAGATGTTAGCAACGGGTACACTATTCCGTTACTCGAGTTCATTATGACAGTGGGAAATGCTGGAGGAGAAAAGAGACAGAGGAAGATCCAGACAGATGATGCATGACAGTCTGACATCTTTGCATGAAAGATCATCTGGGTCAGAAATGAAAGTATATGAGACAGAACGCAATGCATTGATATGACCATCAAAACCAAACAGCATGGACTACAAGATAAACGCTATTTCTTGGCTGCAAAAAGCCAATCATACTAAGAAAACAGCAGTATAATTAGAATGTCAATATACTGTAATCCACAAGGATAAGGAAATAAAACGAGACCATTCATTCATTCATTCAGTAGCATGTCCCTCGCGGAACCTCGCTGCCATAACAACCCTCCGGAAAACCTTCCTATCCTGAGCAAGATGTCCTGCGTCTGATACACCCATCTGGAGATCATCTGCCACATCCTGCACCCATCTTCTCCTTGGCCTTCCTCTTTCTCTCTTCCCAGGCATATACCCCTCCATTATTGTTCTCTCTAGACTTCCATGACGTTTCAAGTGACCAAAATATTTCAATTTTCTTTGTTTTATTGTCTTTACTAGCCAAAGCTCTTGAAGTATGGATGCATTTGTTCTTTTCTTTACCCAAGATATTCTTAGAACCCTGTCTGTAACATTTATATTCAAATGCATTTATGCGCTGTTCCGCTTGTTTAGTAAGTGTCCAGGTCTCACAGGCGTATGTTGCAATGGGAAAGATGCATGCTCTTAAAAATCTGACCTTTGTAATTCTATCTGTACAATTCCATAATTTTTTCAGTTGTTTTAGTCTTTGAAGAGCAATTGATAGTCGCCGTTTAATTTCTTTCATTGTGTCACCATTGTTGGTAACCAGTGACCCAAGATATTCGAAATTTTCCACCACTTCCAATCTTTCCTCATTAACATATATTTCCTTCTCCATGGCAGTTTTGTTTGTATGCATTATCTTTGTTTTTGCTATGTTAAGAAATAAGTTATGATTTTCGAGACCACATAACTGAAAAAAAAAAACCACATAAAGGAGGTGGATAAGATAATGATGGAAGATCGAGTCATCTGAACAGGCTGGGAAAGTTTCGCAAGGCTTGGCCAAACCTGGTTTAGTCCGAAGATTGGGGACAGAAACAAATCTCTCAACATGCACTGCCTGTCAGCTCTTCTACAAAACTTCATTTGTAATTTATTTTATTTTTCAAATTATTTATTAAGTGAATAAAAGCACACACAAGAGAAGCAGACAGAATCACCAAACAAGCACTGAAAAGGGAAAATATATGGACTGAGGAAATGAGGATGTCCAAGAGGAACCTTAATATGGATGCTGACAACAGAGGTCAAGGCTGCTGGGTTGAATTTCATCCAGGATATAGAAAATAATGTAAAGAACAGACTGCATAGAATGGGGAAAGAATGTGAATCCTATATCACACAAAAAGGACACAACATGTGATGACAATGTAGCAAATTAAACAGGGTTCATGTGGCAGAGTTATGCCCTCCTTATTTCTTGTTTCCATTCAGATCTCTGTACTAATGTTTTTGACAAAAAAAGTATAATCTGTTTTAGGTTCTGAGTATTCCCATAATTTTTCTGTGTAGAATGAAGCTGGCATCAGCCAGCTTCACTACTGTAAGTTTGGCACAGCTGTTGAAGATCCTCATGTGGATAGTGTCATGCCCACAAAGATACAAAGAATGTATCCTGAACTTGTGATACAGATATCTGTATATATTGTGACCTGCTCACAATCTAAAAACAATAACTTGATCTTGCTTTGAAAGTTGACGATGAACAACATTTAAAAACAAGCCAATAATTTGGTCAATATTTACAGGGTATGTAAACAATTTTCCCTGAATTTTTTGTACACATCAGATACTATAAGAGACTAAATTAAAATAATTACAGAGGATATCACCGAGACATAGTGATATATGTACATTTACACAATTAATGTATCACTTACATAGAAATACTGTATAAAAACAGTGTAAAAACGGTAACCCTATGTACATGTTTAAAGTCTGTCATCACTAACTAAACTGTTAGCAATATCATGGCATTATTAATCCTATATTTTTACTTGACAAATATTTAAACAGTCATAGTTACTGGCCCCAAATCAGAAGAAATGTCACAATCTGGAAATGAAAATTAAAGGAATCAATGACAGGCTCAATAACGGAGATACATATGTATTTTCAACCTGATTATTCCGGCTACACCCAGAGATCAGAATCTGCAGCCATATTCCAGGGCTATTCAACTGGCCAAATCTGGCCCGCGGATGCCCAGCAAGTGGCCCGTGAATCACTGACAACTGTACTGTATTAATGTTTTTTCTGTGCTTGGTCTCCGGCCTGTGATGATCCCCATTTTCACAGATGTTGTCCCTGAGTAAACTTAGCAGAATAGCCCTGCCATATGCTATGCTGATTTTTAACATAAGTCATGAACTTTGTCATAATCTTCTTCTGCATCTGTTTACAGCCAGCACAACCGAGAATGAATATCCTTTCTGTGAGCCTTCAGAACCTTGAAAACCTACAAGGAACCTATGTGCAACTTTTCAGTATCAATAAAGTTTGTGTTCATCCTTAAAAGCATGGTTGGCACATGGCATTGTGGTTTACAGAGAGGCTGCGATATCTGCATCTTTTGACCCAAGATTTCAGAAAGTACTAAGTGGTCACCTTTTAACAGATTAAGTTGGGGAAGGGAAGGGGGAAGGGGTGTGGGGGGTGTTGGGGTTGTCTGTGTGTTTATGCTCCATCAACTCCTACGAAAATAAAGCTGAGAGGATTGATTTCATTGCAGGGGGTTTTAAACCATATGGCTCGATCCCTCTGCGCACAACGGCCAACGGTCTGTCCAGTATCACAGAGAGCATTAACTCTGCAGCTCCGGCTTCCAGGGACCTCCGTAACAGCTGCACTCGTGACTGAGCGATGCAGCCGTGAAACGAACCCACAACCTTTAAAGTACGAGGCACACTTCGCCACGGAGGACCACCTCACCCCCAAGGGACCCACAACCCAGTGGAGGAAATCTGTTACTGTCAACCGCTTACAATATACTCATACTATACCAAGCAACTAATGAATCAGCAGTTCTGTCTGAGAACTGAGGTAAGTGCATTATTATGAATTAACTTAAACCTGGAGGAAACCTTAACACAAGGCAAATCGCAGCCAGTGAGTTTGTACTGTGCTGAATTATGACCTGGTTACATTCTAAAATAGCTCACTTCCGGTGGCAAGTTGTATGAGTAGTCTTGCACACTCTGTTTGTTTTGGAGCTTAGGGAGTGGAGTTCTGTTATACAGTCCCCAAGGAGGAGGTACTTTGGTACATCATCAGAAGAAAAGGCTCTAATCCAGCCTCTTTCCAATTGATGCAAGTGCTTTTCAAGGCTCAGATGACACCTGATGGTACCCCCCCCCCCCCCCCCCCCCCTAAAAACAATTTTCTAGAAGATTCACAATCAATCAACCACAGTCACCAGCAAATGCATGGTATTTATACAGAGAGCATGGTGAACATAATTTAAAATGAATTAAAGAAAGCTGTTAAAATGTATGTCCCACTATTATTTTTTTACACAAAGTGTCAACATCATGACACAAGGGTGGTAACCCATAAGTGCTCCGTTCTACTTCTACTTCAAGCCTGAGTCTAAAGAATCTCAGCGCAGTGCACCAGCGAGGATCCTGTAATACTTTGGGTAGATTTGTAACACCAAATTTTGCCCAGGCAAAGCCGTTAGGCTATTCTTTTTTATTTCCAACTGCCAAGGGATTTTTTTAATGTGCGGAACAATAGACAGGGTGTACGATATTACTACCTAGAGACCAGAAAAATTACTAGAAGTCCATGTGAAAAAAAATCCCAGCCTTTACTGGGGCTTGAACCCAGGACCTCCAGCACTCGAGGCGAATGCTATGACTCGAGATCCCTCAGCCCCCTGTCTCACACTCAGTTAAATAGAGGCTGATTCATTGTACAAGATTTGATCAAATATACTTATTACAAGTGTTTTGTGCACTACAAAATTTAAGTGCTAGTCTTTTTTTAAATTGAGCAAAATTACAACTGCCTTATGCATGTCCTCTGTTAAATGAAAGATAAATAATAGCCAATGATGAATAAGTCAACCACAATGCATCAAAGCATGCTTTAAAATAGACTGTGTCCATGTAAGGTATGCATTTATATATCTATGCTTGTCGCTTCACATGATCTTAAAAAAAAACAAAATGTCCCACTGTATGCCTGTCCTAACCCGCTGCAGACAAAAAAATTGTTATTCCTATGAAGGCAGAAATTAGTAAGATGTTTAACAATCACAAGTGACAATGACAATAAATTCTTTCTGTATGCAAGTTAACTGCATGGACGGTTTGTATTTACCATTTCTGCTGTGTGGTCTTTGCACATGAGGATTTAGGGAAATGCGGCAAGTGTGGTCGCTATGGACTCTGCAGGGTAGGATTTTAATTTTGTCCCAACAACAACAAAACAAGTCAAAACTTCACTAGGGGTCTGATTATTGGAGTCTCAGCATTCTTGGCCATTTAGTCAGCCCTTTAGGAATCATTAACAAACAAAAACCAGCAGAAGTAGTCATATTCAGTTATATCTCTGTAGTAAGTAATAAGTGAAAGTAAAGATCTCTTTTCACGTATCGGGCATATGGGAAGAGCGCCCATATTTTTACAGACCATCGATACTAGGTAGGTAATGTGGTCAGCATTAGGCCGGCCATCTTTACTTTTCCATGACAGCCATCATAGTACCCACAATACTGGGCTACAACCTGGTGTCAGTAAGATGACAAAAGAACAAGAAGAAGAACATGTGTAATTTTTAGTCTTTTTTTTTGCTGTTTAAACTGTGTATCCTTCTTATATTGATAACAATTGTGTCTTTTTTTTTTTTAAAGAAAACAAATCATTTGGAACATTATATTTTCTTCTTTTAACTGGTGTTTCCAGTTCTTTGGTTAATGCTTCTTTTTTCAAGATAAACAATATCTATAAGGTATCCCCAGAAGAAGAAAAAAAAGATTCCACCTGTGTGATGTCTGGGCAAAGAAAGGGGTACTCAATACTACCTCTTAAACCAAAACATCCGTCCATAAAATTGTCCTCACTGTAGGTCCTTGTACCAATATGGTGGACCTGTTTTAAACTTCCAAAAAAAGCTTTTTTTTTTACAAACGTTCCCCTTTCATCTAAATTATAAATCTCTATTTACCTTAATTTCAAACGTGTACCTTTTTACCAAAAAATTTAGTGTTCACATTTTTTTAAGTCATCACCCGGAAAGAGAAGAGATAAATGGAGGTGGATGATATGCAGCAATAAACCTACATGGCTTGAAAGACTGGATAAAAAGAAGATGCATTTTTAAGACAGCCTGTAATTATGTACTTATTTCACAGGTAGATTCTTCAACCGTGTGACTCCTTGCAACTAGGACACAAAGACGGAACAGGTGCTGTGAACAAAGTAGTAACTTACCAGGTCCAGGAGCACGTTCCCACTCAGGTCTGATTGGTGGTGGAGCTCGTGTGTCTATGGGAAGTGGACCCCTAAACTGAGGTGGTGGTAAACCCATCCTAGGTGGCTGAAAAAAAATGCAAAGAAATAGTAAAATATGGGTAGAGGCAAGCAATTAATAGCAAACATACTGGCAAACAAAAACAAAACTATGACCAGGAAAATGCACACCTCTTTGAGCCTGCAATTTTAAAGCTGCAAGGCTAGTGCTGTCGCCACAGACTGTGCAGATTAATAAGACTATTTTTGCCAGCAGGAGAACAAAATCCACAGCCTTACCGAGGTTTTGTACCTGGGTGTCCCACATGAGAGCTCAGCACTTTTAACTGTTCAGCCAGCGGCTCCTCAAAATTAGCACTTGACAATTTCTTAAAAACAGGGTCATGTCAGCAAAAATCTTTATCACCAAAAAATTGGGGTGGAAGGGGGGGAGGGGGTATAGTACATCTTAACAAATGGATACAATGCAAAAGTCAACAAGATTACTGCTGTTAACAGGACAAACTATCCACCCACTCAGCAACAACAAAACCATTCTCTGTGCAGATATATATATATTTGTTTAAAAGCTTCAGCTTGTATATACAGCGCATGTTTCAACAGGAAAAACCATCTACCCATCCAGCCAAAAAAATACTTAACTCTCTGTGCCAACATGTTCTATTTTAAAAGAGAAACAAGCTACAGGTTGTCAGCATATCTTACCTCCATGCGTGGTGGCGGTCCTCTGACGCCAGGAGGACCATTGTGACCTGGCCGCTGTTGCATTGGTGGCAATCCTGGTGGAGGACCGGCCACTGCTGGAATAGCTCCTGGTGGAGCTGTAGACAAGTAGTCAGTGCATGCTCTCACTAATTCTGAGATGAATGTAAACAGATGAGGACAATGAAAGACACAGCCAGCAAAATATCAATATACTGCAAACAACATATGCTAGACTAAGTTATAACAAATGCTTGACTATGTTATAACAAATGTGTGACTATGTTATAATAAAGGCTTGACTATGTTATAACAAATGTGTGACTATGTTATAACAAATGTGTGACTATGTTATAATAAATGCTTGACTATGTTATAACAAATGTGTGACTATGTTATAATAAATGCTAGACTAAGTTATAACAAATGCTTGACTATGTTATAATAAATGCTAGACTAAGTTATAACAAATGCTTGACTATGTTATAACAAATGTGTGACTGTTATAATAAATGCTTGACTATGTTATAATAAATGCTTGACTATGTTATAATAAATGCTTGACTATGTTATAACAAATGTGTGACTATGTTATAACAAATGCTTGACTATGTTATAACAAATGTGTGACTATGTTATAATAAAGGCTTGACTATGTTATAACAAATGTGTGACTATGTTATAACAAATGTGTGACTATGTTATAATAAATGCTTGACTATGTTATAACAAATGTGTGACTATGTTATAATAAATGCTAGACTAAGTTATAACAAATGCTTGACTATGTTATAACAAATGTGTGACTATGTTATAACAAATGTGTGACTATGTTATAACAAATGTGTGACTATGTTATAAGAAATGCTAGACTAAGTTATAACAAATGCTTGACTATGTTATAACAAATGTGTGACTATGTTATAACAATTGTGTGACTATGTTATAATAAATGCTTGACTATGTTATAACAAATGTGTGACTATGTTATAATAAATGCTAGACTAAGTTATAACAAATGCTTGACAATGTTATAACAAATGTGTGACTGTTATAATAAATGCTTGACTATGTTATAATAAATGCTTGACTATGTTATAATAAATGCTTGACTATGTTATAACAAATGTGTGACTATGTTATAACAAATGCTTGACTATGTTATAACAAATGTGTGACTATGTTATAATAAAGGCTTGACTATGTTATAACAAATGTGTGACTATGTTATAACAAATGTGTGACTATGTTATAATAAATGCTTGACTATGTTATAACAAATGTGTGACTATGTTATAACAAATGCTAGACTATGTTATAACAAATGTGTGACTATGTTATAAGAAATGCTAGACTATGTTATAACAAAGGCGTGACTATGTTATAATAAAGGCGTGACTATGTTATAATAAAGGCTTGACTATGTTATAACAAATGTGTGACTGTTATAATAAATGCTTGACTATGTTATAATAAATGCTTGACTATGTTATAATAAATGCTTGACTATGTTATAACAAATGTGTGACTATGTTATAACAAATGTGTGACTATGTTATAACAAATGTGTGACTATGTTATAATAAATGCTTGAATATGTTATAACAAATGTGTGACTAGGTTATAACAAATGTGTGACTAGGTTATAACAAATGCTAAACTAAGTTATAACAAATGCTTGACTAAGTTATAACATATGCTAGACTATGTTATAACAAATGTGTGACTATGTTATAATAAATGCTTGACTATGTTATAACAAATGCTAGGCTATGCTATAACAAATGCTAGACCATATTATAAAAAATGCTAGACCATGTTATAACAAACGCTAGACAATGCTATAACAAATGCTAGACCATATTATAACAAATGCTAGACTATGTTATAACAAATGCTAGACCATGTTATAACAAATTCTAGACCATGTAATAACAAATGCTAGACCATGTTATAACAAATGCTAGACCATGTTATAAGAAACGCTAGACAATGCTATAACAAATGCTAGACCATATTATAACAAATGCTAGACCATATTATAACAAATGCTAGACCATGTTATAACAAATGCTAGACTATGGTATTTATAAACTATCTATAAACCAGTGCAAGTAAAAGTATGTACAAGCTAAAGAGTATGTAAAATTGTGTACACGATAAAGAGAAAGTAATATTATGTACAAACTGAGTACCATTACGTAGAAACTAGAGTAACATAATGTTTTAAAAAAAATATGTACAAAATGTAGAATAAAGACAATGTAAAACCTGCAGATTTAGTAACAATAAACTACAAACTAGATTTTCTCATTTAATATGTACAAACTGTAGAGAGTAACTGGTGAGATCCATGGTAATCTCCATAGCCGAACTAGGTCGCGTTCCACTAATACATTTTTTAGACTGGTCTGCTGCCGGGGGTCTCGCATTTACGTTTTTCTTCACAGAAAGAGAATGCCTGCGACATAGGTTGCAGCACTCTCTAGGGGAGTTGTCGGTTAGACCCAGTTTCTAAATGTTTTTAAAGTGTTAAAAGCGCTGGCGTGCTTAAATATACACCACGCGATATCAATGCATTGCCTAACGCCCCGCCCTTAGCAGTGTGCGAAAGTCGCGTTACTGGAGACTAAACAATCAGAAGTGAGCTAGTGTGTAACGTGGAGAGATTATCATGGATTTAACCGAGTAACTGTACAAACTGTAGAATAATACTGTATACAAATTATACAGTTACACTGTACAAAAATGTAGATTATCATTTTGCGCAAACCAACGTTATGACTGGTGAACATGTGTGACAGCGAACCATGACAACCTCCCATGCATATCGGTATGATACATGATAATTATATGCAGGTTGCGTTTACTTTTGCAGGTCTCTGGTACCAACTGTATGAGACAAGGTCAACTTTAAGGTCTTGCCATTCAAGAAAAATGCAATTTGGTGTAGAAAAATTTAACCCTGTTCTTGTTAGGGCAAAATGCAATCCAGATGCAGTTAGGAAAGATGAAATCATGCATGGTGGTGTGTAATCCTGCTACTGATAAGGAAATGGGCAGTAAAGTACTTGCTAACAAACAAAGCCATCCGGCTACTGCTAGTAAACATGTAATCCTGCTATTGCTAGGGGGGGGGTTGCAATCTTGCAACTAGTGGGTAAGAACAAATCCTGCTATTGCTGGAGGAGGGGGGGGGGGTGCTATCTTGCAACTAGTGGGTAAGAAAAAATCCTGCTACTGCTAAAGAAACATGCAATCCTGTTACAGCTGCTCTTGCTCTTTTATAATAAATCTTGGCAGTTGTTGAGTCTATTCCTTCTGATCACATGCACACAAATTTATCGTAAATTATTTGCATGCAATTGTAATTTACTTACGTGCAAAGTTCAAGGGTCCGGCAGGTCGTGGAGGGGGACCTGTCACTGGTTGGGGTCCAGGTCTAGGTGGGGGTCCATTCATGCGAGGGGGAAATCCTGGGGCTCCCGGAGGTCCAGGAGGTGGTGGAGGTCCTCGTTTTTCTGTAGAGTTGACATGGAAGAATTATTTAGAAATCTTGTACAGATTGTTGTAAATCTGCATGTGTTCTCTCCTTTACATGGAAGAAATAAACATAGCCATCTCAACAAGGGAGATTATGGCAGTAGACCGACTAAGGTTTTTTTTTGTGGGGGTGGGGGGGATATTAGACCGAGAAACAACAGATCAAATGGTTCAGCCATCTCATCAGAATGTAGCCAGATCAAATACCATCCAAGCACTACATCTCAGAAAATCAGCTGTAAGGGGAAGAGGACGCCACACACATATGGACAGACAACATTAAAGACACTACGCCTTCACGGCATGATAATAGCCAGTGGCAGCTAGCGTGCATTGGATTGCAAATTATTCCTTCTCAGGTAGCTTAGAGGCAGAAGTAGTTTATAATGATGATGACATCCCAATCTCTACAACAGTGCTATTCTCTTACCACTGTCTGAATGCCATAAGAACTTTTTTTTTCAACAGCCGTTTCTGGAAATGAAATCCTTGTAAGACACAAGGACTGTGAACATATTCACTAATCTTTAAGCCAGAGCTTTTCAATTAAGTTTACTCAGGAGCCAAAATTTTTTTAATGAGGATCATCACAGGCCAAATTCCCCAGCATAGAAAGATCCTTATTACAACTAGCAAACATCTGCTGATTGTATGCTGGGCCTCATCAGACCCATGGGCCATCGTTTGAACAGCCCTACTCTAAACCAACTTCCTTCCTAGTACCCTCTTTACTGCCTGTATTAACCACTTTTAACAGTGTAAGGTAGAGAGGGAACAGTGCAGAGGGGTATAAAACTGAGCATTTTAAGAACATGTGGCTACTGTAGGCCATCTCGAACAGTACAAGATCTGTATTTTGACCCCAACAGCAACTCTTACTGATGATCGTACACGGGACTCCCAAATTCTACCCACTTGGGCAGCCACTCCTCCCTTACAGATATAGAGGGTGTTATTGCGGTAATAATCTAGAGACCCAACAATGGCGATGTTATGGCAGGCCTAGCAAGCCGGCAATGAATTTATGACTGCTACAACAAATGCAATGAGGTATACTATCGCTGACTACACAAAATTTTACATTTCTCATTTGTAATGTGGTCTGTAACACTCTATGTGTTTATAATTTTGCCTACTGAATTGTTGAAAATATTTGCCAATCCTACTGGGTTTTTTTTTTTTATATTTAACTTCTGCCCTTATGTGCTTTCACATGCTTAAAGTAGGAAAAACATGTTACAAACATATATGTTTACTGTGATATACTCTCGCAATATATAATGTTTCTAAATGTCCTAATATGGACATATTTCAGCACAGAAAATGTCTTCTAAAATAAAAAATAAACACTGAACTCAATATCCGGTGCTTTCCAAATATCCCTCTCCAGGATGACGTCACAGGACAGTTCAATTTTTGAGGGTAGTGAAGGCGGGTTTCCCGGCTTTCTGATGCTTTTAACTACCCCAAAAACATCTATAATAGGGCCTAACCCCAACTAATCTATGTCCCACTAGAGAGTGCAGTCTAGGTCCATGCAGAACTGTAATTAAGAACAATAAAAATCTCTTTCTGGACTCTTGAAGTTGAAGATCAGAGCTGCCAGCCAGCAGATGATGAGCAGGTACAGAACTTAGTCATAATATTGACCACATCATCCATTTAGTGCCAAGAGGTTTAACAATTAAATGTTTCATGTACCAATGATGTGAAAAGGGATCCTAAGATTACTCGGTCTTAGTCAAGGCTTCAACTTCACTGCCATCAGGTTTTCCATACAAGCTACGTTCCTGCGCCATGTGCAAACCAAATAAAATGTCCCTCACTGTCGCATCTGAAAAGCTGGTGAACAAACAATCTGGAACAATCCAGAAATATGGGCGCATAGTAAATTCAATTTACAACAGTCACCACCAGAAATGCAGTCTGTCGTTGAGTGAAGTAAGACTGGCACGATCAACTGGCTACTGTAAACACACAGGATTATTACATAAGGTATTTCACCAGCTCACATGTAAACCGACCATCCTGAATAACACAACACATCCACTGCACAAATGAAAGGCAAAAACACATCTCACCAAGCACTAAACAGATGTAAACTCATTTCAACACTGACCATTTCTCAGGCTACCGTTGTGTTGGTTATCCATGCCTGGTGGTGCTCTCTCATCTCTGCGCTCAGCATCTCCCTGACCTCCGCCTCCTCCAGTCTTACGAGCCTGGGCTTCAAACTGACTTAAAGCCTGTTTTGTGAAGTGGTTGACCTGAGGTATCTGTCCATGCAGTTCTTTACGAGGCAAACGATCAAAGATGATACGAGATGACTGTTCAGAACCCACAACTATTAACGCAAATCTGGAATCAAACAAGGATACACAAATAAGAACAATTATAAACACTAGCAAACATTTTACATAATAAAATATACAACTGCCAAATAACATTTTTTTTTAAACAGGGTTCAAATTAATAACACACATTTAAAACAACTTATTCACTGCAGGGGAAAATACTGGTTTGTTTACGGGTCAAAGTACGTTTTTCGCTGCAGAAAGAGAGCGACTTCACTTCCCATTCATGTCTTCACAGGGCCTCTCCTATGTTGCAAGGGCATTATAGATTGGCTTAGTTCAGCGTTCGCTCAGCTTATATAATTTTTATAGGGAGGTAATGTTGTCGTGAGTCTCCTCGAGGATCTGCAGGCACCTGAGCACAAGAAGGAAACACTGCAGGGGAAAGCGCTGTGGTATCGAAACTAGGATTTTTTTCTATTTCTACGTTTGTTAGCGGTTCCTTCCCTCCCGAGACAAAGAAGCACTAACAAGTAACATGGGAATCTAAAAAATATTGCAGCTTCCATACTTCCAAACTGTCGCAGGTAGGCAAATGTGAAAGTAATCATGCAAGTAATCTGGTAATCTTAGTTTCAGCTCCATAGCAAACGGGTAACCCCATAGTTGCTCTGCTCCTGTGCTAACGAAAAACAGGCAGAATATTTATCAGTCTCTTGTGAAAAGATTGATAAACTGCTGTCTCAGTATATCCAGCATACATTGGTAAGGAACTTTCCTTTTTTCATGTTTACTGGTTGCAAACTCAGATGGTTGTTCATCCACTAATGGAATTTAGTCTTTTCCCCGAACATGAATTGTACACACATTTCGGTCTTATTTGTATGGAGGAACGTCGCTGTAGCTACAGAGTTACGTGCGAGCGGCGACACAGGCGGACAATTCTTATCAGCTGTCCGTACTGGTGGCAGAGCACTTATGGTTTATAGCTGTGTGCAATGACGCTGGTTCACATTCCGACTGACTTTACCTGTTTTTTTTTTATGCCCGATGCACCAAATGGACGTGAAAAGGGTTTACACTTTTGTCGGATATCAGTTTTTAACCCTCTCTAACTAATTTATATTATACCCTTTTGTCCCATGGTGCCACTCCAAAACCAGAGGTGTACTACTTTAAGTAAGAAGTGTAAGAGCCTGGAAACAACCAACAACTGTAAGAGATAGAAAAGAATTTACGTAATAATTTTCAAGGATTAAAAAAGACACTGAGTTGACACTAAACTCTGACTCACCCTTTTGACTGCCCGTTCGCTCTGTTCTCATAGAACTTAATCTCCACCAAATCGGAAACGCCAATAGAAGTCATAGCATCTACAAGATCTTGATCCGTTGTCCACTGTGTTGAGAAAACAGAAATCGTTACGCAAGTACAAACTATGTAAACTGCAGAAGACAATAATTACTGTGATAAAACTCAAAAGAACCAAAGAACTGGTCATCAGTCTGTAACATGACTCTCTATTGTCTTCTTATCTGCTGATGAAAGCAGGTTGCCAGAAAAATCTTTGTTTTGTTACAATTTGTAAAGGTGGCGTAAAATTTGTGTTTAGTAAAAAAAAAAAATTTGAACTCTCAGTTTTACTGCAGCTTAACTTATTTCATTGAGGTAGGCCAAATGTAATGAATAAAACTTTAGATACACTTTTTTGCAACAAGAATTAACTCACTTACTATCTAGGGAGTACTGCTGCATCAATAGGACTCATTTATAAACTTGCATTTCAGTACAGTTAGGCCAAAGAAGAAACTGTTATAGTATATTAAATCTTAAGCCTTTAAATATGCGCAGCCAAAGTCACCAACTTTTTTTTTCAAGGGGTTTTCCTAGGGTTCAATGTATTTTTTTTTCCATGTTTCTAAGGCTGTGTGGGGCGTGTACAGTACACGACCAGCTCCAGCTAACGGGCCGTGCTGCTGATGCCACCATGTCAGGCTAACGATGCGTTATGCAGCGCTTCTCAAACTGGGTGCCATGGGAGTATGCTAGGGGTGCTGCGGCAATAATCAAGAAAAGAAGGCAGATACATACAAGTTAACATTTAAGTTGTCTGCCCTCGCCACTGTCGAAAACAGTTTATTTCTTGTTTGAGAACCGCTGCATTAACACATTGTCAGCCTGACCCGACGTCAGCAGCACAGCCCGCCTGCTAGAGCAAATCCTGTACAGTACTTAAATTATGCACATGTGCAAGGGTAAACAGACATGTATAGTTTGTTGACATCTATAAATTATTAAATACATATGTTTTCAAGAATTCTGACCGACATTTCATTTACACTTTTCAGAGCTTTTCACAGACTTGAAGACTTAAGTTGATGTTGCAGGGTTTTTCCAGGTTTTAAATATCACTATGAGTAATGTAAGCCACACCATGAGGACAGCAGTTTATCTCTTTCATGCTGGTCTGCCTGACTAGAGGGACCCTGCTCTAGCAGCAGTATAGCTCTCTGTCACTGTGGTACGCAAGCATCTTGACCAGTCCCAGACACCAAAGGAGCAACATGAAATAAACTGAAAGCAGAATAAGTAATGCCAGACATCTTACCCATGTCAGATTTCCTATATACAGCATGTATTTCTTCCCCATGTGAGTCGATGCCACAGAAGGCATGGATGTACTGTTAGACCTGGATGGTGGTTTCCCTCCCGAAGACCTGTCAATGGGCTGTAAGAAAATAAACAATCATCATGTATTTTTTTGTTCTTAGTTAAGTTTTTCATCAAAAATTCATGTATGCCTTCCAGACCAATCAGTGCTGTTAGGATGCAGTCTAAATCTCTGTGCACCTCTTCTCATGGTGCTGTCTGCAGACAATCATGGGGGCACTGCAGAACTGTTTCTCACAAGCCTGTGAATCATGAAGCAACACAGAACTGTTTCTCACGTCTGTGCAATCATGAAGCAACACAGAACTGTTTCTCACGTCTGTGCAATCATGAAGCAACACAGAACTGTTTCTCACGTCTGTGCAATCATGAAGCAACACAGGACTGTTTCTCACAAATCTGTGCAATCATGAAGCAACACAGGACTGTTTCTCACAAATCTGTGCAATCATGAAGCAACACAGAACTGTTTCTCACAAATCTGTGCAATCATGAAGCAACACAGAACTGTATCTCACAAATCTGTGCAATCATGAAGCAACACAGAACTGTTTCTCACAAATCTGTGCAGTGGTGGGGACAATGCAGGTCTGCTTCTCACAATATTGCAGTCAAACAAATGAAGAAATGATACTTTCCTGAAAAATAAAATTCCATTCTTTCCACACCCTTCATTTTCCATTGATCTTGTTCCATGCTTCTTCTTGCTCCCATAAACTAAGGAAACAAATTAAAGGTGCCAATTCAATGACGGTGAAAAAGTACGAACCAACACAATGAGATAATTCAGGTCTCAGAAAGTGTCTTTCAGAGGTGCTTCTGTGGGATTAAGTGTATAAAGAAACAATGAAAGGCACTACTTGAAGGGGAAACCCCTAACTTACTCCAAAAAGTAGTCAGTCTTGGAGCTTAATGGACAGCACTGTAGAAAAAGATAATTTTAAGTGGCTGAAAGAAGTTAACATGCTGCACAAATACCTCAGAACTTGATCTTGAGGAGGATGCTGTGATGACATCATCATACAAATCTCCACCCCCACCAAAGTCTGCATCCTGCAAGCACATCCAACAAAATGGCATACAAGATTATCAGCTGACATCACAAGTCACAATCAAAAATAGAGTACACTTGACTGTATATGTGGGTGTGCATGCCAGTGCGCTACTGGCATGAAACTAGTTCCTTACCAATACAGAATTTACTGGCTGTTGAATAGTTTTACTAGGTAATTTATCATAGCTTTCAAAACAATGAGACACTTATGATATTGTCAAAATCTATGCAAATTGTGTGTATATGTGTGTTTTCTTTCTTGCTCCATCCCTTTCCTAACAGGATGATGCTCAAACTATTGCCAATATATATATTTATATTTTTTTAAAGAAATAAAACAGATTGTGTGTAGTCACCTGTGTCTTCTGTGTTCAAATTTACAACAGGGAAACGCTGCTTTATTACTTTAGACTGTAAATTCCTGCAATAAGTTCTGGTTGTTCATCCCAGCCACTTATAGACTTCTGGTCTCGTTCCAGAACTTTATTTTGCAATGCAACACACATGCATGCAACATACATACAAGCAGGCAACAGACATACAAATACACACCTAAATACATTGGTATCTCACAATTCTAATTTGCAAATAAATGTGTGTCTAGGAAACCAAACACCTAGTACATGCTGGCTGACAACACAGGAGCTTCAGAATCTTCACTAGTGCCAGAAAGAAGACATTTCTTCAGGCCAGGAAGAGGGGGGGAAACTGAAAAGATTAGCACTGCTGAAAATCCAAGATCTTTTGATCAAAATCTAAAGAAGGTGAGAGGTGACACCCCGACAGAGCCCTAGTTAAGAGATGTATTCAATCATAACATTTTAGATCAGTGCATCCATGCATTCTGTGGGAAGAAATATGTGTGATCAAAATCACAAGAAGGTGAGAGGTGGCACCCCGACAGAGCCCTAGTTAAGAGATGTATTAAATCATAACATTATCTAACATTTTAGAAAATGATGTCGCCAAAATCAGAGCACTTTGGAATGCTGTCTCTAAGCAAAAACTAATGACCTCAAACTCTCTACGAGTGGTGAAATTATTAAAAACGAGAAAGGATTTCTGGTGTTATCATGGAAGGCGACCCAATCTCCAAACAATTACCTCCCTAAATCCCATTTCCTCATGCTACTTATATGTGCTGTGTCACAATTGTTAACGTACAGTAAATATAGTTTTCAGATCTTTTTTTTTTCAATTTATTTATGTGTTTTTTTTAATTCAAATATGACCATCACTGGTTACTATACAGGGTACTGAATTTAGGAGAAAACATATTTTTATTTCAATTTATTAGACCCTGGAACAAATTAATTTAGTTTCCATTATTTTTCAAGACGATAAATTGCCTTGGAACATGAACAATTTGCACTTTAATCACCATATGGAACAAATTATGTTCAAATTCTGAGCCACCACTGTGTGTGTGTACACGCGTACACGAACAAAAAAATATCACTACATGAAAATTTTTAGGTTTTGCAGGAACATGTGTGTTCCATAGTCATAAACGGGTAATTTTATTTTTTTATGTGAGGCTCAAAAATTGTATATACATAAGACTCCGGTGTGGTGTTAGAGGGATACTGCAATAGCCACCCACCAAGAGGAGGAACTACAATGTTTACTATCTGCAATTGCTAATGCATGCTGTCAATGCTGAATAATCAACAAAATGAAGACATAGATTATGGTGCAAGGTGTTAATGACAGACTTGCAGTCTACACTAATGGTGATGAGCTAAAGACAGTTGACCTTTTTATATATATGGGATTTACAGTGAATAATAAACTATCACTGGACCAAGAAAACAACATCCAGATAGGTAAGGCAGCAACAACAATGAGCAGATTAACAAAAGTAATAGTTCTGGAGAACAGAAGGCTCACAGCTAAAACAAAAACTCTTTTGTCTATCAGGCTTGTGTTCTCAGCTCTCTCCTTTCAGGCAGCGAAACCTGGTCAACTTATTCACAACAACAACAAAATGCCTAAGAAGAATACTTGGCATTAAGTGGCAAGACAAGATCACAGACAGTGAGGTACTGGAAAGAGCAGGTATCACAACAGTTTTCTCAATGCTGTCTCCAAAAGCTCAGGTGGCTGGGTCATACCTGGAGAATGCAGGATAGCAGAGTCCTTAAGGACAGACATCGTCTGTGATGAATTACAGATGGGTAGAAGATGTTGAGGTCTGCCTCTACTACGATATAAAGATGTTGGGAGTGGGACATGATTAATACAGGTATTGAGGTAGATTTGTGGGAACAGAATGTCAGTGAGTGTTGCAAGGAGGTGAAAAAATGATTAGACTATCTGAGAGCTGAGCAGCACACCACATACATGTGATGGCAACAACAGTCTTAAAAACAATTCCATGCTCTAAATGTAAAAGACTTTCCTCAGCATGGCTGGGTCTTGCTAGTGACACTCACCATTGCCATGAACTATGACACTATGATTCCCATACCTCCCCAATACCAGGTTGTCGAAATTATTATTTAATTATGTGCAAGTGGGAGCGACCAGAGGATCTGGTAGTCACTTACTGGTCAGAGGAAAGACAAGACATACACTTGATTAGGCTACAACAGGCACCACTGTTTGGTAGCTGGACACGCTGAAGACGGAGTAAGAGCATTGGACTACACTAGTATAGCACAGCAGAATGTGGGACTTTTGACTTTTAAGTTGTCAGTTCTTAGTCAGTTAAGGGTTTTTTTTTCTGTTCAGCAACGACATCACGCAAGATTTAGGGAAATCCCATATTATAAGCAGTTAGGGTGAGTATTAGTCGCCATTCATTTTTAACCCTCCTAACCCCACCCTCCCATAATATGGGATGTTCCTAAATCTCACATGATGTGGTCGCTTAACAGAAAAGAACCCAGTTAAGCTAATCAGTCACTGAGTCTTCTGAGTCCGGAAAAGTGAAAAAAAAAGAATCCAATCCAGGATCCAGTTGTAAAATTAGTATTAGTATAGTTGTAACAATACTTTTCAGGCATGTTGCTTCTTCAGCTTCTAATGAACTATTATTAACTATAATAATTAATATGAATACAATTTTCAAAAAGATAAGCCAGTGGTCTCATAATTAAATTATATCTGCAAATTCAGCGTTATGACATTTTTTTTCTTTCTTCTCTCATTCTCGGCAACCCCCCCCCCCCCCCTTTGTGTGTGTGTGTGTAGCGACTACGGACGCGCCCCCGTCACGTGACCTCCGAATAACGATGACGTCACCGATCTAGCAAAAATTTGCGTACGGAAAACATCGGCGGGATTCGGGGTGCCCTAAATTCTTTTGAAAAGCACGCCAAATCACGGGGTTTCCCTAGCTATAAATAGCCCGAACGTCAGATGTTACAATCAGTTAGACAGCACATGGTGAGTGGAGTTTGTGGTTGGCGGTCTGTTTTCGTTGTTCTCTTGTGAATATATAGCTACGTTCACCATATCAGTATAAAGCTTTAAGATAGATTGCATAAATTTACTAGTGATAATTAGATTCATCAGCCATTTATATATTAGTGTGTAAAATTTCATAACTCTAAATGATTGGTAGAATTCACAGTGCAGTTTAGAAGTTCATCAATTGAAAGTCCAATTCTAGTGGCATGCCATCCTCCATTTTGAATAAATCGATAATCCTCTTAATAGTCACCAGACTCTACCCAGCTAAAGTGCATATTTAATTACTTTTTCGTACATTATGTCACATTTTAACAACACTGTTTGAAGCCTGCAAATTATTTCAGTATTTTAAATGGAAGTTTGGTATTATTTATTGATGTGGTTGGTTTTTCATAGGGGCGCCAATAACTAGTGTGAACTAGTATTTTGAAAAATTTCATTTATTTATTTGATTTATATTACGGTTATATGCTGACTTGCAGAACTATTGTAGTTATTTTTGAAATCTCTATCCATTTTAACAATTCTCTGGAAAATTGCACCTCTTATAATGGTTGGAGCGATTTCTAAATTGCGATTTTAATAAGATGTGTGTTAAAAAACGAATGCGTGGTCAGTCTGCCAAAAGCACGTTGCCATAGCAACAGTGCCACGCTTCATAATTCATTACTTTAACTATAATAAACATTTGCTAAAAAGTACCTGTTTCTCTACTCTCTCTTAACAGTTTTCAGTTAGTATTACAAACATTTAGAATTATTAGAGTGGAAATTATTTATATTTAAATTGTTTTAATTAATAATCAATTAATTTGTGTTTATTCTAAATTATAAAAATAAAATTAATACAATACAATACAGTTCAATACTCAAATACTGTATTTTTTCTTTACTAATTAGACTCACTGATCTCTTATATATCTGTAATTACATTATTTTTTATACACACACATTATATATAATATATATATATAAAAACAGGAAATATCATTTTCAATCATTGTCATTGTCATTGCCACAACATAACTAAACATAACGAATAATTTTTTGTTGTTGCACAGATCACTGTCTCACAATGGAAAATAAAACCGCTAGCGATATGAGAGCGCATCTGGCAAGCTTTGAACCTGAGTATCCGATCAAGAAGGGCTACATAACAAGGTTACTCATAAATGACAAACTTTCTGTTTCTGATATTTGCAAAAGAATAAAGAAAATAGTGCAAATGGCAGAGCCAGACATGCGCATACATGAGCAGCGAGCAACAAGAGCTATTTATCATTTAAAGAACATAGCCAAAAAAAAATATGCTATACAGTTCAATGGGAAGATTTTGTAAGGTGAACCAAGAGCCATTTGGGTTATCATTTCATGATGATACAGCAGGAGCAGTTGATTTATTAGTTGTAACTTCCACAGCACTCATGCAACAAGACCATACAAACACACTGTTTACACAACCAGAACACACATCTGTACCAATGCCTTTACAAGACACTTCAGAACCACCAGTGGCTGCTGTTGTGGGGTTAACCTCTGACTCTGTTCATAACGATTTATCCTTTTTAGTGCGCTCTAGGTCACCATCGCCAAAGCGTCTAAAAAGGGACTGTGACAACTGTGTCAACAAGCAACGGACAAATCTGAACATGCTGAAGGAGAACAAAGCTTGCGAATGCAGATTAAAACACTTAGACTGCATTACAGAAAGGAAATAGAAAACAGATGTCTTTGAAAACTCTGAATGAGAAGATCAGGAGGCAATCACAGTCAGCCACTCTTTGGAGATCTAAATATGTCATGATAATGAGAGCATATACAGAAATGAGAAAAGTAAATAGACTGGAACGCAGGAAACAGCGAAAGTTACTCAAAGGGTTGCTCCTCTTGAAGCATATATAGAGGAAAACAATTGTTTGAAAAAGCAGGTTACAATCTCAAAACGTTCAAAAAAAACAACAGAGACAGAGAGGGATCGTTTAAAAAAGGAAATTGATGAAATCAGACAGGAGTCTAAGAAGTTTCTCTTGAACATTCAAGAAATGAACACCAAGCTGCGCAAAGAAAGAGAACATATTTCATATTTGGAAAATGAAGTAGCCAAGTTGGAAGAATCTTTAGCTGATCATCGCAATATTGTAACAAAAGAAGCAGGAAAATATTTTCACAGATTTCGCCAGTCAGTCTATGAGTGCTTGATGCATAATGTCAGTGTTGCAAATATTTCACGTGTGTTATCGTCTATTTCAGGAATTGTCTTTAACAAAATTCTTTTAAATGTTCCCTCTGTATCCACAGTAGCACAGATGGTGTATGAACTTGGGGTACTTGCCAACATTCAGGTTGGCCAGATGCTGCATGAGTGCGATGCTGCTACACTGGCATGGGACTCAACAACCAAACAAGGATCCCATATTAATGAAGTTCATGTGACTCTTATGACATCAGGTCGTAAACAGTCTTTAACTTTAAATATTAGGGTTATTTCAGGGTCTACAACAGAACAGCTGTACCGGCACGTCTTTGAGGCTCTATCTGATGTTTCTGAGATGTACTATGACGCTTTTAAGATTCCAGTAGCTGCTTTCAAGGAGGCAGTGAAAGGTAAAATAAACAGCACCATGACGGACAGAGCTGCTGTCAACCATTGTGTGAGCCAAAAACTTCAGGGGGACATCGGATATTTGGCCGACCTGAAGTGTATGGTACACCCATTGGATGGTCTTGCCATAACTGCCCGTGATGTATTGTACAAGCTTGAAAAGGATCACATTACAGAGCAAGACAATCAGAGAACAGCCTTGGGATGTCGTGCTGCAATGCTGATTCACCAGATATCAAAATTGCGTCACAAGGATGGGTCTGGTGATCCAGGTGCATTCATTGCTTTTTTGCAGAACAAAAAATATCAATCCCAGCATCTTCAAGCGCTATGTCGGGAATCGTTTGAATGTCATGTTCCATATGGCAGCGGTCATTTATTTGCACAGAGATTTATTGACACAGTTTGTCGAGCACAAACGGCCAAAATTACTTTGTGTTAAAATACATGAAAAACTTGACAGACGAGAGAGTCCTGCTTCACTTGCAGGTGCTGGGATTATATTCACACGTTTTGTCACAGGGCCTTGGATGCAGCTGTTATATACAGACAACAGTGAAATTGGTCATTTAGAAGCAGTAAGTCAGGTGAAGGATTGTCTCGAAGGCTTGAAGATAGTTGAAGCGAAACCAGAGTACCTTATAGAAACGGAACGTGATGCTTTTGGTAGGGATTTGCGTAAGACAGCATTGAACCAACCTCAGTTTCCATGTGAAAATTTTAACTTAGTATCCAAAATTTAGCGGAGGCTTTTATTCAAACACTTAATAGGCAGTTTAAACCTTATTTAGATGGGCCCTTATCTAATCCGTCTCCTGAATTGATTAAAAAGACATCATCTGCAGAATTCCATAACATAGGGGCTGAGAGAAATCTTGCAAGGGTGGATTCAGTGATGCAAAAAGCTCCCAATGCCACCATGGGGTTCATTGATGCAAAGGTGAAGGCTGCCCAAAACAAAACATTGCAATGGCTGCAGACATTTGATGACGACTTCCAAAAGTACCTGGTAGACTTTGCAGTTCGTCGTGGAGCTAAGGTGAGGCAGCAGCAGTCTGAGGTACAGAAGAAATGTCAGCAGGAAAAATTAGAGAAGTGGGACAAGGCACTTAGGGATAAATGTGAGAGAGATCTGACAGCAGAATTTAAAAAATCCAAGTCCATGTTTGCAATACTTGAGATAGATTTGTTTAAAAGTGTAGCTGAGGAGTCAAAAGATATGTTAAGGAATTTTTTTAGTGACACTAATGCTCTGTCAGGTGTGTTACTGCGGCACATCTGGAATGATGGAGAAAAGGACTGTGTTTACTTTTTTTTCTTTTTCAGGCTTGCATGATTACAGAACTGTCAGCTTTTTAAACATGGACGAGTGAAAAAGGTAAGTCGTACAAACATTTGTGGCTAATGCTTTTTTCTGATGTATTGTTGCACAATTAATGAAATTGTTGTTTTAAAATGTTATATTGAATTGTTTGTGTGTGTATATATATATATATGTTATTTATAGTTACTTTTTTTCTTTTTCAGTCTTGCATGATTACAGAACTGTCAGCTTTTTAAACATGGACGAGTGAAAAAGGTAAGTCGTACAAACATTTGTGGCTAATGCTTTTTTCTGATGTATTGTTGCACAATTAATGAAATTGTTGTTTTAAAATGTTATATTGAATGTTTTGTGTGTGTATATATATATATGTTATTTATAGTTACTTTTTTTCTTTTTCAGTCTTGCATGATTACAGAACTGTCAGCTTTTTAAACATGGACGAGTGAAAAAGGTAAGTCGTACAAACATTTGTGGCTAATGCTTTTTTCTGATGTATTGTTGCACAATTAATGAAATTGTTGTTTTAAAATGTTTTATTGAATTGTTTGTGTGTGTATATATATATATGTTATTTATAGTTACTTTTTTTCTTTTTCAGTCTTGCATGATTACAGAACTGTCAGCTTTGTAAACATGGCCGAGTGAAAAAAGGTAAGTCGTACAAACATTTTGACGGAGACTTTTTTCTGATGTATTGTTGCACGATTATTTAAAAAAAATTGTTTTTTAAATGACTACTGCATTATTTGTATATGCATTATTTCACTAATTTTTTTTTTCTTTTTTTTTTTCAGACTTTTACCATGACGTAAACCTGTGAGAAAGATACAAACTTCTTTTAGTCATGTTACGAGAAGAGCGGCATTGGTGATGAATAAACAGATTAACATATACATAGACAAATAAAGATTAATGCAACAGATATGTTGATGGCTTGTTGATTGTTCTGTTCAGACTCCACCATTCAACAACAAAAATATAAATTAGACACCATATTGAAAAATAACTGACCAGAGAGCATGACTTAAATTATCAAATCAAAATTATCATATGACTTACATGATTGTTCTATCAGGGTGAGAAAAAAATTTGCTCTGGATATATATAATATACCCACAGCAAATAGTTTTCCCATATAACAAAAAAAAAAAAACATTAAAATTTTTTTTAATTAAAATTTTTTTTCATGATAATTGGCGGCCATTTTTAAATAATATTAGTCGATATGATGTAATACCTAAAAATTTCCAGATATTCAGTTAGACATTGCTGCCCTGAACACAACAGTATCTGTTATCTTTGGTCTATTTTTAATACTTTAAAAGAACGTTATAAGTTTACGAGAACATATCGACTGATGATTATGATAAATGGCGGCCATTTTGAATAATTATTAGTCGATATTGCGTAACTACTAAAAATTTTATGTTTGTTCGGTTAAAGCTTGTTGCCCTGAATCCAAAAAATATATAGTTTTCTAGGGTCTGTTTTAAATACTTTATAAGTTAAAGCAGTTTTTTAAACACTACTCTAAAACTTCTGATTTCTGGGCAGCAAGTTTCAGCTCACTTTATATTTTTCTTCTTTGTTAACTTTTCCCTACAAAAACTTCAATAACTCTGCTTAGACTTGACATAGAGGCATGAAAGAGGCACCGTTGGAAAGGGTTTTTCAATACGGATGCAGCTGTACTTGTTTTATGAGGATAAAACGATTTTGAAAATTTGACCAAAGTTGCTAGTGTGTGTGTGTGGTTACTAATTAATTAGTAAAGTCAATTAAACAATGTTTTCTGTTAATATGCTGCTGAAGACGTGCAAATGCCTACAAATGACGACCAATAAATGTGCTGCAACTGAATTTACATGCACCATGTCGCCCGCTACTGCCGTTAGATGCTTACCTCACTCTTCGCCCATTACAACGGCTACAAAACCGACCAAAAGGATGAAAACGAAAGAAACCGAAACCGCGTTCAGCGTTCGTTTGGATGCGGTAAAAAAAAGAATCGTGTCGATAACAGTTTGTAGTTGGTTAGTTCCAAAGTACTTATGTTAACATGTAGTTCATGTTAACTAATTCGCTGCAAATGTTATATGCAAATGTATTAATTATTATCACTAACCTGACTAAACTCGTCTTCAATATTATCGTACAAATCAATGTCAACGCCGTCCGCCATTTTCTTTCCTTCTAACAATAATAAGGTTAGCCAGATTTTCAACACAGCAGCGTTTATATTTGGAGAACTCTTCTACTTCTTCTTCTCCTTCACCCCCTTCTTCACTTCCTCAGGTTACATATCAAATTGCTGCTGGAGAGTAAACGGTCTTCTGTGTTATCTTTTTAGTGCTTTATATGTTTACCTTTATTTCTTTGACATTGTTCTTAAAGCCATCATTCCACATTTTATGTGGTATTCCACTTGCTTTGTGTCTTTTGTATTTCTTCCGCGTAGCACTCTGTAGCAGTTGGTAGAGGTCCTTGTTGGCAGATGGCCAAATCTTATCATCTTTCATTCTTTAAAATGAATTGTATGACAAGTTCCATCCTTGTCTTTGTGTAACACTTCGCATCTCTGTTATGATTTTGTGCTCATTGGTTTTAATAAGATCTTTGCCGGTCCCAAGAAAGAATGTATGAGAATAAACCCCACCGGGACATCCACAAAGTGCCACCATGCGAAAGAGGATCACCCGGGGAGATATTTCATAAACCCCGTTCAACCGTTAGGTTATATTATGGCTCCTTAGTACAGCAGAGGTGGGGCTTAAAAATAAAGAAAAACTGCGTTCCGTAACGGGACGACAGATTATTATGATACCAGTCACAAGCACAGAGGGTGTGACATCATTGCTTCAGCAGAGATTTCATTGTTGGCATTCCTACTCTTTTATACCAATTAATTGAATTAAAATAATAAATATTATTATGCATGGCGGTTCAGAGTGTGCAGTGCGAACAGACGATGGTTTAAGTGGTTGGTTTGAAGTTGAAACTTGAGTGAAACAAGTATGCATTTTATCGCTCCCAATTATTTGCCAAAATCATTGATGGGTGATGAAAAAATGTTGTGTTGGAAATATGAACATTATCTGGGCAGGGAACACACAGCTGGAGGATGTAGATTTTGCTGATGGTATTGTTCTGCTTAGTAAAAACAACGGTGACATGCAGTGACAAACAGATGATTTAGCAAATATAGCACCAACGGTTGCAATACACATAAGTTATGAAAAGACAAATATATTGATATCAATAACAGATCAAGCAGAGCTAACACTAGAGACACAGGGTATTGTAGTGACAGGTCAAGTTCCTTATTGGGTAGTAATTGTGATAGCAAAGAAATACAAATAAATAAATTATGACACCTATTATTAAGGTATCAGCAGCTTTTAAAAGCCTTTACAAAATATGGAACTCTAAGTTATATAGTTGTAAAACCAAGTTACGTATTTTCAGTTATAATGTTAGTTAGTTGGGTTATCATCATTGCACTCCGGACATGTCCACAGGTGCTCACATCCTCCCCTCAGTATAAACCCCAACGTTCCATGGCTGATAGTACCAGTTCTATGTTGATTAACAAGTCTTCTGGCGTGTCTGGTGTGCGTCTCGTTTTTTGCTATGCCGATCTTAATTCCCAAGTCTGCCATTCTGGCGAGTGATGTGGATTCACTGCACCCAAAGTCCTCGATCCTTCCCATTTCTCCGAGGGCATTAATAATATCGGCATGATCCATAGGCTGACCGTCAGTAGTGATAGCGGATCCAGCCAACCTGTCAGCTCTTTCATTTCCATAGACGCCTGCGTCTTCCGGAACCAAAAAAGGTGACTCCACGCACAGTGGACTTCTGTAATGATTCAAGCCATTGTCTTCGCACTGAACCTGCCTAAAACTTCCGGATCATACTCAATGAATCACTGAGTATACATACGCGGGTGTATTTTTATGTTTCAAGACCAGGCGAACGCTTGTGTCACTGCCATCACCTCCATCGTCATGCTGCTGGTTGTCATGGAGAAGGCGCAGTGGCTTCTTTGACTGTTCTGCCCGCTGAGCGTGCTGTAAATGCCCATGTGCTTCTTTTTTGGCGGATCCGTCTGTGTAGATTAGAGCATCTATAATGTTATTTCAGTTTTAACAAATGCCAGTGAATGTTGGAGAACCACTAATGGCACGGAACGAAAGTTAAATGCATTGGAACGTAAATGCATGAGGAAAATGATGAACACAAAATGGGGTGAATTCTAGAGGAGTGAAGAAATAAGAGACATTTGCGGGCCGTCACTGGTACTACCGAGAGCCTTCCTGAACAGAAACGAGCACAGAAACACCAGACAGGCACCAAAATGAGAAATAAAGTGATTAAGCAGACGAAAGACCCCCCCCCCCTTTTTTTTCAACCTAAAACAAACGTTACTGAGAGAGGCCGAAGGTTTTGGACTGGGTTCCATTCATGATATGGATTGCATAGTACAGAACCACGGCCAGCTCCAGATATATCTGTTAACATAGTAACAGACAATGTATTGATTGGCACTCATAGAAAGAAGTAGAAAGATAGAAGAACACACTAGACAACATAAAAATCGAAAGCTATAGTTACTGTTCCAGGAATCGAACCTGTCACCTCCAGACGGCGTGTGCGCCTCGCTATGGAAACAAGCGCACTAAGAACATGGTCAACCAGGCACCCCCAAATATATGTGGAGCTGGTGGTGGACAGAACGGAGTGGGGGAATAGCCTGCGAGCCCTATGTGACATATAATGGCAGGGCAATGAAGGAATGAATGAATGACTGAGTTTTAATAAGGGTCCATGCCACTGGTGAGAACCGCCGTGGTGTAGCGGCTAGACGTTCGCCTGCGGATCGCAAGGTCGTTGGTTCGGGTCCTGGCAGAGTCAATTTTTTTTAATGACCTTGGCTCTCATGTCGACCCAGCCTTAAGTGGGTACCAGGTACAGTCCTGGAAAGTAAAGGTGGCCTGTGTGATGTTGACCACATTAACCACCCAGTGCCGATTAGTTTTAAAGAAAAATGTGTCGAACCCTACATGCCCAATACACCTGAAGGCTTGGGAAAGGGTCAATGCCACTAGTGGCCTAGTTGCTTCAAAATAAATTAAAATTCGCTTTATTTGGGGGACTTTGACTCTTTTGAACCACGGTTGCCTTGTTGTGTTTTCTAACACGACATAATTTTAACTGTATGAGGATCAAGTGGCCGACCGTCCAAGAACGTTGTGCTGTCATGCGGGAGAGCTCACTACAAAGCTGTAAAACCGATAATACTAATTTCTTCTTCTTCTTTGCATTCACCGAAGTAATCTCTGTAAACTCTCCGAAAGTTCTGGTTGTTCGTTCACTTTTGGCTGGTTCCCTGCCTCTTAGGCAGACGCACCCCAACTTCGAAGAAAGCTTCCAGTGAGTCCATTCTTACGACATGCTGTTGGTGTTGGCAATACTCGCCAGCAAATCTGTCTTGTTGGTTGGGTACTTAGTACTGCGATGGGTCTTCCACGCTCCCCCCCCCCCCCCATAATCCGGCCCTGACACCCACACGGTGAATAATAATTTCAAGAAGACTGTTGCTATCATATAAGAACTTTTCTTCCCCCCACCCCCACCCCCCCCCCCCCCCCCCCCCCCACAGCTTAACACAGCTTCCCGGACTGTTTTTTCCGCAGAATATGCTGTGGATGCCCATGCACTTTTGTTTGTGTCCTCGTACAATAGAACAGTGTGTGTAGTGCAGCACATCTGCCTTATGCGTATGGTCATTGATAATCCCATGTACCTATGAACTGACAGCAACAAGAGTCTGCTCTCAACAAATCCTATCAAGCGTGACAACACAAGAGAATGTGCAGTTGAGTGCTTGAACCACAGATATCATCCTCCGCCTTATCCAGCTAAGATCGACTCCTTTTTAGCCTGTCCCTCTCCCGGGGGTAATTTGGGTTCTCACGGCACTCCGAACACGCAAATAAGTATTTAGCATTGAGGGAAGGGGGGAGATAGAGAGCGAGATAGAGAGATAGATAGATAGAGAGAGAGAGAGAGAGAGAGAGAGAGAGAGAGAGAGAGAGAGAGAGAGAGAGAGAGATTTTGGTAATGGCTGCATTCTGATTAGACCCCTTTGACCTTCTTCAATGGTGTGCTATGATCCTGTCAAACGATCACTTATTTACTTCTGTACATCAAGTAGGGTGGGCTCTGTGGCTAAGTCGATGCGAACGCTTCGCTTCGTAATGCCGGGATGCCAGGTTCGATCCCAGCTGCGGGCAATGCGCCTTGAGTTTGTTTCGACAGTGGTATCAAGAAAGCCGACCGTCCAGAGGCAATGGCAAACTACTGGATGTAAATTGCCTAGAGAAACCACACAACAGCCAGGGGCCGTTAGGGTTGGTTCTGCAACGTCCTGTAAAGGATACGCAACTAACTAACATCAAGTAGGCCGGGCGTCTGTAGCTGTGACCAACGCGCTTTGTGATTCTGAGGTACCCGGTTCGATTCTAGCGAAATGGCAGCAAACCGCCGTGCGTTAATTCCTACATGGGTAGCAAGAGATGAACGTTCAGTAGGCAAGGGTAAACTATTGAACGTAAAATTTCATTGCAAAATCAAAGCAGGCAACACAGGCTCGGGTTCGCTCTGCAACGTCATGCAAAGGATACGTAAAAGAAGACTGGGCAGACGTGACTAACACAATACAAAAGTGTTGTGAACTGTAAAAAAATGTCCGCCGTATTTCTGCTTCAAGTCTGTCATACGAAGACTGCTGTTAAAATTGTTTGATTATATTCAGTGACAGAATTAACCCAAATGTTGAATGCTGAATTAGGAATCTACATCACAGCACTCAGGACAGTTCCATAAGTGATCAGTCCCCACTTTCAGCAGCAAGCGAAGAGTTCCAATTCCAATGGTACCAGTAACCGTCTGTATTATCTATCTCATCCTTCCCCTGAGTGTTGAGCGTCCGCCAGATCCCCTAGTAACTTCTCGCAGCGCCATTCTACTCAGACCGTAATGATCTATTTGCTCCTTCTCACTGTTTACTCGCTCCCAAAAGGTCCTCACAATATCTAACTTGTCATACATCAACTCCCCACCAAGTGGTGCAGATTCAGCCTGCTCATTTCCCAATACAGCGACATGACCTGGAGAAGT